CTGATTACAATATTTCAATATAATAATGTAGTACAATGTATGTATGTACCCATAACAATATAATTCGGAAATTTAATATTGCCAGTATAGATTAAATTATAGTTTTCCTATATAGTTTTTTTGGATAATGTGTAGGGAAGCAACAAATTTATTAAATATAATTTAATAAATTTGTTATTATAATTCAAATTTGGAGTTTTAAATAGATTAATTGCAGCTGAAAACGCCCAAAAAAGTTTACATGAATTATAAAGAATTTAATAATGACATATAGAACTTAATAATTAATATATATAGATTCGAAAAGTTGAATTTTCGTTTTCTGCTTTATTTAGGTATTTAAATAATTGGTGATTTTTAATCGCCGAGTGCATGATCTATACGCAATAAATTGCAAATCAATTGATACAAGAAACTGAGACACTCTTCATTTTCAGAATAAAATTGTAATATAAAATATAAAATTCTATGGCGAAGACACGTTACTATAATTATATGTATGTAGGTACATATAAAATATTATCTTCCATAAAAAAGCATAAAATTATGTTACAGAACATGTTATATCTTACAGAATACATACCTTATATTACTATTAGTTGTTACTAACACAAAATATTAAACCAACGTATAATAGTTTTATAAATTATTCGATATTTTTATACATACATACATAATATATTGTATTATGTATATATATTTGGTAATAATACTGATAGTAGTAAATAATAAATATTATTATTATTATGACTCGTTTCTCATTTTTTGGCAAATTAAAATAGCTTGTAAGAATAATATTATTTTCTACGGAAATTTATGTAAACGTATAAAAAATAATAAAAATGATAGTAAATTACATTTAAATAAGTATAATAGCATTAATGCTATATTGTTGTTATTATTGTTCTTTTTTTTTTAAATGGAATTTTACTATATGTACGTATGTAGTGTACTCAGTAGTGTACTTTGTTTATAATAAAGAAATTAATATACCAAAAACAAATGTAGTAAAATGTAGAATAAATTAAAAATTTTATATTTTTTTTTTCAATATTGATAATAATTTTACAAAAGAAAAAGAAAAACGAATTAACATACATATATAGGAGTATAAGAGGAACATAAAGAGTTTATTGTAAAATCCATGAAAGATTATGAGTTTAATTATCTCAATTTAATAAAAAATTAAAAATTAAAATAAAAAATTTTACTAAAAAAAGGATTATTTTTGATAAAGTCTTGCAGTTTTCGTAGTATGGGTACTGATTAAATTAAATTTAAAGCTGACCGTTTAAAGCTGACCGTAAAAAACCTAGCTGTACGATTTTTACCGACCGTTTTGTGTAAACAATAGGTAGGTTATGTGATGGCAACAAATTTTGCATATCGAGTTTTCGGTGGGAACGTACTTCTCCATAGTAGGGAAGTGTAAATAAACTATTTTTAGCAACCTGTCGGTCTGTCGGTCTGTGTGTGCACGCGTGTATCTCAAGTTCTGTTGAACCGATTTGGATGAAATTTTATATGTAAGTTTATTTCCACCATGGCACGGATTGATCAACTTTTGGGATATATCAGGCCTCGGGAACTGCACTTTTTAGCGGGCCTGTAAAATTCCTATGTTTTGGAAGAAATCAGGCATCGGCAACTAGACGTTTACTACGGGCCAAATATACATTTTTGCGTATATAAAGAGAAATAATCAACCGATTTCATTGAAATTTAATATATGAATTCCTCGTATTAAAACAATGAACGTATAAAGTTTTTGGAAACATCAGGGCTCGAAAACTGATTTGAGGGCCGATTTTACATTTTTCACCATTTTGAAGAAAATATTCAATCGATTTACTTGAAATTTCATATATGAGCTTTGCTCGACCGTCCGTGAAAATTCCTAGCTTTTGGAAGAAATCAGGCATCAGCAACTGGACGTTTACTACGGGCCAAATATACATTTTTGTGTATATAAAGAGAAATAATCAACCGATTTCATTGAAATTTAATACATATATGAATTCCTCGTATTAAAAAAATGAACATGTAAGTTTTTTGGAAAAATCAGGCATCGGCAACTAGACGTTTACTACGGGCCAAATATACATTTTTGTGTATATAAAGAGAAATAATCAACCGATTTCATTGAAATTTAATATTTGAATTCCTCGTATTAAAACAATGAACATGTAAATTTTTTGGAAAGATCAGGGCTCGAAAACTGATCTGCGGGCCGATTTTACATTTTTCACCATATCTACGGAACGAATTGATGGAATTTCTTGAAATTTGATATTCGAGTTCTGGTTGTTACCGAAACTAACTGGCGAGCATTTCAGGGAATTCGGGTCGCACAAAGCGAAACTCTACTAAGAGCCAAATTTACATTTTTCTAGGTATGTTAACTATAAGCATACTAATGTCCTAAAAATTGGAAAGAAATATTTAAAAGACATTTTTATAATATTCTGTAACACTTTCATTTAACTAGACAATACACAATGCGGTCGGTTATGTGCTGACCACATCAGATTTTTTTGTTTTGTGAGAAATAGATTTCTTAGTAATTGTATAGTTAAGAATTATCATACATATAAAATGTAAGTAAGCTTAAGTAGGTATATAAAATACAATAAAATATCAGTAGGTATATATAATAATCATAATATTCATAAATCATAAACATAGTACATATATGTCCATGCGTTGTAAACATTGTTTATAATAATGTCTTGTATAAGGCTACTCTTAAAATAAATATTTTTGCTTATGCTTGCGTACATCAAACAATGTTGAAGTAAGTTAGCTGTACAATTTTTTTTTTTTAAAATGTCTAATGGAAAACTAATTTTCACTAGATCTAACACGTTTTCTTTTTCTTCTTCTTATTATTAATAATTTTTAGAAACCTTCATAGAGTAAATTTAATTTCTATGTACATAATATTTTTTATATGACTCATTTCAAAAAGTTCTCGAAGTTTGTATGGGACGAATTTAATACATGTATATATGTACATACATAAAAACATACAATTAAAAAAAAAACTAGACTTCCATGACCTTACGAAAATTTACTTGTTTTTGTTCTTTTTAACGGTATGATGGATTTAATAAATCAAATTTTGATAGAATTTCACGCAAGAAAATTTCTCTGTATATTAGAATTTCGCTTTGTTTTTTTTTTCTTTAATAAATAGCTACGTCTTGCTTACTATAATTGTGTTCTATATTCTGTCAGTTGTCACTAAGTATAAAATCAGAATAAATTTCTATGAATCATAATTTTATTTTTCGTAATATTTATACGAGATCATCATTGTGTTTTAATTTTTGTCTAAAAAAATAAATTTATTTTGTACGTCGTTTTAATAATGTGCGTATATGAGGTGATATGCGTATGTGCATTGTGACACGAGGCTAATTAATATTATGGTATTTACTTCCTATGGGAATAAAAATGTTTTTATGAATGAAATTTTTCCAAGTAAAAATTCTTTCATGTGTTTAATGTGTTATGTGGGTAGGTAGGTAGGCAGGTAGGTATTGTTCAAAACAATATTATAAGAATCATATGTTGGGTAAGTTAAATTGTGCGAGTAAAATTGCTTAATATTTAATTATTTAAAATTAAAATGATAATGAAATTGATCATAATTAATTAATTTTTTTTTTTTGTGTTTTATGTAAGTATTTTCTATTATTCAAAGAAAATCTAATAAATTTCAAATAAATTCAATTAAATAACTAATTTTAATTAAAATTTTTTGCATTATTATATAAAAATATTTTATTTTCAGTGAATGTATATAATTTTCATTAAATAATATATAGTTTAACTTTAACCTTTGCATAAAATAAATATTATATTTAATGTTGTATAATGATAACCGAAAAAAAAATAAAACAAATTAATTAAATTTCTAATAATCATAATATTTGTTGAACTCTATATAAAGTGATTAAAATTATTTTATTGTATATAATTTAATAAACAATTCCAGCATAATATACTTCCATATATACCCACACTTTATTATCATATTTTAAGGAAAAAACACAAAAAACACTTTATTCTTATTGATTTCGTGATTCGACTTAATAATTTTGTTTTTGGGAACCAGAAAAATAATTAAAGAAATTAATTTTCATTTGCTTATTGTAGTTAATGGAAAAATCGAGAATATTTTTTAGCATGAATATTTTTTTTTGAATACCTACCTTTACAAGAAAATTTATGAAGGATAGTTGAAATATTTTTTTTAGAATTAGATATTTTTGCTCTTGTAAAGTAATTCATTCAAATCTTAATGTATACTATATTGGGGATTGTATTTTTTGGCAGCTAAATTTTCGTAAAAGCTAGAAAAATATAATTCAATATATTTAATAATATAGTTGACTAGGTTTATAAGTACTGAAGAAGAAAGCCGGTTCATTATTTTTTTCTAGAATCTATATTGTTGCTAGAAGAAGTGTGCTCAAATTTTAATTGAATAAATTTAAATTTGCTGAATTAAATTTTTGAAATTTCATTATCTTTACTTTGAATTTTAATGGTCAAAATATGTATACTAAAAAAATATTTTCACGACTTTTAAAAAATAATATTTTTGCGATAACAATATTGATAAGGCCAAGGAATGATTTAAGCAACATTATGAAACATTTCAAAATAAATAGTATCCCTTAGAATTAATAATAAAATTTATATTGAATATTAATAATCTAGTATTTAAAAGAAAATTTAAAAATTTGAATTTAAAAGCATAAATTAGCGTAAAATAAAAAAATTTCGTACTAAATGTATAAAATGAATTTTTTCAAATATTTATTTTTTGTTTATATTTAAATTATGACTCAGTACATACATATACATATTAAATTTATGACTTATTTTAAATTATGTTTTTAAAAAATTATTACAGATCCATTGACTATAGTAAGTAAGTATATAATATTATTTTGCATTTTAGGTATAATTACAAAAAAAAACGTTTGTTTTTAGAAAAATCTATTTCGATCTGGTAAAAGACCGGCATGTGATAATACCGAATATATTTCTGATCTTGGAATTTTTTCTGCTTGACGATCAAAAACCTAAAATTGAAAATTAAAAAATTTTATTAGAATTGGCCAAAATACAAATATTATAATATATAAATTTTTAATAATACTTACAGGTTCTTCTCCAGGTACAAACCAACTAAAATGTGCTAATGCTGCACGTACTCTAGGAGTTTTATAAAATGGATTTCTATATTCACTAGGTAAACTTTGTTCAAATGCATCATTTTCAATAACAGCAATATGTTCAAGTCTTTGTGCTAATGATGTTACATTGATAACAATTAGTCCAACAACTATTAATTTTAACCTAAAGTGAAATAATTTTTTTAATTTATTTATACATATAATAAGTTTTTTAAGTATGATAAATTTAATGTTTTGTATGAAATTATGTGATAAGGTTTACATTTTTTTTAAATTAAGGCATAATTATAGGTGGTGATTAGTAATTCAAGTGAGTTTCAAAAAATTTTTTGTTTATTATGGTAATAGATTGCTTCTTTGCTGTCAGAAATTAAAGTGTACATTGTTTCAAATTTTGAATTTTGCCTTATTCAAATATCGAATTCAAGCTTGTTCAAATATTTTTAGCATTCCGCTTATATAAGGCTTTATGTGTATCACACAGCACACTATCTTAACTACACCAGCCTACATAAAGAAATAGTTGAAAGGGTTGGTTATTCACATTTATTCCGATAGATGGTTTTACATTTTTCAATTTGTTTGTATTATTACATAACGCAATTTTATATAAAAAACAGCTTCCAAGCTTCCAAGCTACACTTCCAGCTACTCCAAAGTAATTTAAACTCTTATATTTAAGGAACACGCACCTATCATTTCAAAAATCAGGAAATTAAATTTTTTTCTGAATAATTTTGCTTATATTTCTGAGCAATCTTTCATATAATAAAAAGAAATTATTAAAACAAAATTTAAATTGAATACCTGATTGAAAATCATAATTTTGATTGTGTTTATTGTAATTAAATAATTTACATTTACTATTCAAAAATTACTTAATAAATCTGCGTAACACTAGTAATAATATTTGCAAAAAAAAATTTCAATACAATTTTTATAAATCTGATTTGATTATTTAATGAGAAACAGAAAATGAAATAACGTCGTTATCGTGGGTATTTATTGGTTATTTTAAAGGTATATGCGCCCATGGCATAATAATCATAATGTGATAATATCCGTACAGCTACTGTTGTTTTATAATACTTTTTGATAATCTGTTAAGAATACATATAGTAGTTTATTTTGAAGATTTTAAATTGAATTTTAAATTTTATTTTCATATAAACTTAGTGTTGCTTATAATAATGTAGTTTTGTCACGAAATTCATGGTTGGAGTTTTTATTTTGAAATTCTTCGTTTTGTTGTTCAAGGTGTGAATGTTTATAAATATATTTTGTAATACTCTTTTATTTGTGCATTGTGATTAATAAAATATTAATTTTTGAAGACATTCCTGCAAAATACAATAAATATATAAGTCTTACCGAAATATTTTAAATTCATATTACAAATGGAATATTTTTCTTTAAATATCAATTTCGATTTTTTCGAATAATAAATTGATAAACTGCATTATAACTTTTATATATGTTGAAAATTATTCGTTCGTTTTGCATCTTGCTATATAGATTCATGTATGTACGTTAATCTTTTCACTTGACTTTATGAGAAAAACTTGTTATATATCAATAAAACAAGATATTAATGGTACTTTCTTTAAAGTACCATTAATACCATGTTTCATTGCCTTACCATTTCTTAATGGAATAAAAATTGAAAGAAAGTGAAATAAAAAGGCAAAAAAAAATTATTTTGGTGTATTTTACGGAAGGAAAAATATTATTTTATATTATTTATGTAATTCATCATATCAGTTTATCATTTTTTAAAAACGGGACTGAAAAGCATGTATTTCATATAATAAATGTTGCTGTAGCAGTATGCAACACTATATAATATATATGGGCACATTTGAATGTATATAAATATAATGTTCAAAAACATCTTTTGAAACTTGAATAAACTCAAAGTTTATCGTTATCTTTATGTTATTTAAAAAAAAAGTAAAAAACAAATTTTGTATTTCATACTGTATAAAATAATATGAAATCTACAAAATGCAAATTTCTCGAATCGGTTCAACATCGAATACTGCATTATGGAATAACTCGATGATAGCTTAATGCTAACATTATAAGTTTAACATTAGTATAATTTTTTTTTCGAAATTAATTTATAAATATTTTATATAATTTAATTTTAATTTTACATAATTTGGCTAAAGAATTGTAGGTTTCTTTTCTATAATTGGAGTTCATTTTATATTCCCAATTTTTACATTTCATATGTCTTTGGCAAATGAACTTATCCGTTGGAAGGCCAGGAAAAAATAAATTTATCAAATATGTTAATGAAAACCATATGCAAAATTGTTTAAACTTATTTTTTCCCTTCTTTACAAGTATCACAATAATTTGAACAATTAAAACACAATTTGATCAATTATAAATTTCTGCTTCAAAAGCATTATAATTTTTCTTGACGCGTAGAGTACAATTCACGCAAACTTTATACATCAGATTTGATTGCATTTTGAAAAACAAAATTTAAAAAGTTTTAGTGACATTATGTGTGAACACTGTGTTTGTGATAATATTATTGATTAATTATTTATTTCGATTTTATAAAATATATTTGTTAACTGTTATATAGGCATGTTTGTTTCAATGTTAAATTAATAAACTTTCATTAAAAGTTGCTTGTTTATTAAACTATAATGAAAACATTAAATTTCAAAAATATATTTTTAAAAAGCAAATGAATGGAAAATCCTTTAAAATTAATTTAGATGAATAGAAAATCCTTTAAAACGGTTAATCCATATACTGTTTCAGGTACATTGTTACAAGATTCTTTAAATTCTTAACACATCATTTAATTTTGCCTTGTTATTAATAAAAAAAATGAATAATGTGCAAATAAATTTCCATTTTATTCTTACATAATTTTTGTATTTATTTTATTATTTTTAATTATTGACAATAAATTCAATATTTAATTCATTTAATATTTTATTTAATTAAGTAAAATTAAATATTTGCTCTTATTTTTCGGACAATACAAGATTATTTGTTATTTAAATACAACGAATTACTATCAACTGAACCAATTGAGTAAAAATCAGAAATTATCGTCTGGTAGTGCATTGTCAAAAAAAAAAAAAAATAATTAAACTAAAAGAATAACAAAAATTTTTCATGAATGATACGGTAGCAGTTATGTTACAATACATACCATTAAACAAGTATATTGCCCCACTAAAATTACCACATTTGCAGAATTTATATTGCATTGGCATTCATTATCGATTACAATTATTATAAAAGTAAAAAATTCACTGAAAATTTTGCAGGTAATAACAAAAAAAAAAGAAATTAAACAAAATAAAAATTTTTTATTATTTTTTATTCACTTTCAATTTCTTTTATTTACTTATTTTTTTCTTAGGCACACTTTAAAGGTACAATTTATATATGTATTTGTGTCAGTTATTTGGGGTGATGAGTTTAAAAATGCGCGTTGTCACTATACAAAATCAACAAGCAAAAAAACAAAAATTTAATTTATTTGACCACGATCGTGCAGTTATAAAATATTTCATAGCCAAATTGGTAATTCAGAAAACAACAACAATAACAGCAATAACAAGTTGATAATAAGCTGTTAGGTGACATTCGCATGTACGCACATTGAATCATGTTATTTGTAAATATATAAATTATCCATATATGTATAAAAATAATGATGGTAAGTAGATAAAGGTTAAGTTAGAGTTTATTTACGAGTAAAGATGGAATGAAAAATTGTTATGTAACAAAGTCAAATACTTATGCATGAATTCTGTTATTTGTTTTTGTTTTTTGTATATTGAAATTTTCCGGCATGTTTTTTATTTTCTTTTCTCTTATTTGCTATATTGATATCTTGTATTTACGATTTTAAACTCGTACCTGTCCAGAATATAATTGAAGTATATTTTGATAACATGTTATTAAATTTTGCGCCAAAAATTTTTTTATGTTCATTTTGTACATTTATGTTGGATTTGGTTAATTTTGGACTTATAATTTCGAATTTTTTTGTATTAAATTTCACTTTTCTTGTTTTGCTAATGTTGTATATGGTCTTATTGTAAAATAATATAATATTTCAACAAAACTGAGAACGCTCGCACCAACAAATAGGCCAGTTGTTCCACCAATTGAAACTAAATATACAAATATACGAAAAAAGAAATGAAACAAAAAAAATTATTATTTGAATAAAATAATAAAAATTATAATTAAAACGAATTAAATATGAAATAATTTCAATTAATTTGCATAACTATTATAATTAATTAAATTTTGTTAATTAAAATGTTAGTTGCCATTTATTAAAGTTTACGACTTTTTATGATACTAAATGGAGTCGTTAATTTAATTAAAATTATTAGTATTTGACATTTATGACACATCAACATTCTACACAGTATAATAATTTTATTACATCTATGCACCTATGAAACTGTAAATACTGTGAATTTGATATACATAATTATTTTTGAACTATTATTTTTCTGTGTTTGAAGTTTTTCACAAAAAGCATCATTTCTTAAAGTTATTGGATAAAATTTATTAGGCCATAGTATTCGGCAATTATAAAAATAAATTTCATATTCCAGTCATTTGATATTAAAATATTTTTGACAGAGAAATACCCTGTTTTAATTTTAGTGAAAAATTTAATGAGAAAATTCAAAAGTTGAAGGTATATATAAAAAATTACTAGTTTTTCAATAAATTCTCTACACATAATTCTTAAGTTTTTCGTTTCTTTAAAGAGGTATTAAGATTCCGCATATATGACAGGATAATTGTTTTCTTTTTCTATATTCAATATAATTTTTTTTAACTGGAAGAAGAAAAATTTACTTTATTAGCTTACCAACTAAATCCAGCTTTCCTCTTACTACATTGCGTTTATATCTTTCTGTTGGTAAATCAACTAAACCAATTTCAACAAAAGAAATAGGTTTTTCATGCCCATAAAGGCTATGTTTGAGAATAAAATGAATAAAGAAAAAATTTCTGTTTTTTAATTTTGATTATTTGTATTTATATATGTATATATACTTTTCTCGATTATCATAAATCACTGAAATATCAACTTCTGTACACGATGGATAGCAATCACATATTAATCCTTTTCGATTATGATGAGACCATTCAGCAATAATTACTGATAAATCTTCATAATTTTGATTTAAACATTCTAATCCTGTCATATTGCAATACATGTGGTCTGGTGTATTTGGTGTTAAATGTCCAGCACAATTACATAATGATATTTGTTTATCTTTACGGCATTGAACAGTACAAGCACTATAACTGTAATATTTATGAACATCTAAATAATTTTCGTCACTAAAGCGACATCTTCTTTGATCAACTCGTACTTCTCGTGTACCTTCATCATTTTCAATATTTTTAATGTCAATTAGACGTCTATTTTATATAATAATGTTAATAATTAATACATTTTATAGTAGATATAACATGCATAATTCTGTGGTATTAAGAGAAAACTACCCAAGTCAAAATTGATATAATTTTTTAGATACTGTCGCTCTTAATTTCTGAATAAATTCAGGTATAATAATCGAATTGGTACACAATATAAACTTAACTGTGGAGAATTATTTAAATCGACTCAGGCTACTGCTACTTATAACCACAGAATTTTTAATGTTTAATCAAAAATGTAGCTTCTTTAAATAATTTTGCATACTTATAGGATACGTATGGACCAACATTAAGAATTTCAGTTTTAGGTGTTACTAAAGTTGGAACATCTTCTTCACCTAAAATGAAAATCTAAAAATATTTTATTTATTAAATTCATAATTAAAATACATTTTGAATATATAAGAAATTGGATAAGTAAATAAAAAATTTTAAGTATACAAAACAACAGGTAAGTAGAATAGAGAATATTAATACATTTGCTTCGGTATTTAGTTGAAGTTTCAACCATCCTGGTCCAGTATGAATGCTAGAAGTCATGTCCAATTTTGGGCCAACCGAACTGATGTTATTTAAAAAAAGTGAAGAAATTGTTTTTACCAATACATTATCATTTAATTTAATTATATATTATTTACTTAGCTTGTATTGAATTTAAAGCATAGCATAGTCCTAATTCAGTTTCCATTATATGAAAATATTTGCAACATTCAAACTTATTGTCATTCCACGAGCAATCTTCTATTGCATTTGCACAAGTACTTCGAACTAATTTCGAATAGTAACTGAAGTTCGATTGGAAACAATTTTCAGCTGGCTGTGGTCCACCACATTCATGTACTGCATGATATGATTCGCCTTTAAAAAATGCAATTTCACTTAGAACTTCTTCTAAGGTAAAATCATGATCGGCACCCCATAATCTTTTAAAGTACAATAAAAAAGTGAGTATATTTTTGTTAACAATAATTTTTTTAAATAGTTTGATTCAAAAACAAAAATTATTTAAACTTAACTGTTCTGCTATTTCTTGTATATGATCCATATTTTTTGATTCACATACAACTATAGCGGGAAAATTGGTTTCCCAATCTCTATAAGATGTTTCAACAACAAAACTAATTGCATTATTTTCAAAGGCAACTGTAATATTATTATTGTTCTAAGAAAAAACAATTTTCAAGAAAATTATAAAAATTTACTGTTATACCTAAAGATGTCATTATTAATAATCCTGAACCATACCAGGACATAACAATGCAAACAACCCAGAAAATTTTTTCAAATATAGAATTTGAATCATCTACCAAAAATCTGACACCATGTACTGTGGAATTTGCCAGGAATTCTTTTAAGGCATGCTTAAATATTTTCATTTTAATGTTAAAATATTTTTATCACTAATATTAAAATACTCGTAAGCTTTTTATGATGGCCGTAACTTTAATATTTTCAAAATAATATTAAATGAAAAAGGATACCTACATTTAAGCATTATTCAAATCACAACAAAATTATCCCATTAAACACATTTTGATATTGAAAAGGAGTTCTTTGCTATTTATGGAGAAAGGACATACTATACGAGTATATTACGAATTATTTAATTATTTATAATTTGTATGTAGGTACGATATAAGAAGGTTGCGGAATGTATATAAGAAAAAATAAAATTTTCAATCGGGCAGGTCATAATGAATAAATTTGAGATTCACATTTCGATCAAAATATGAAAACCTGGCCCACAAAATATGAAATCCTTGAAAATATGGCAAATATTTGATTTTTAAAACAATTTATTAGGGAGAAATTCATGTTTTATTTCCAAATACTTCGGAATCAGTGATTAATAATATGATCTTTCCATTCCTTTTAAAAGCTTCTCACTATATACGCCGGTCTACGAAAATTTAGGTGATTTAGTTAATTGAATGGCGATTAATTGAATTTAGCACAATATTATTTCGGTAGATGACATTTATTGATGGTAGATTTTTTTTTTCCATAAATTCAGCTCTTCACTTTCAACTGCACTTCATTCTGTAGTATTATGGACTTTCATAAGAAATGCTCCGAATATTAACAACTAAATTGAAATTACATTTAAAAAACTGAAATTACTCAAAAATTGTTTCATGGGTTAAAAAATATTTTATTTTCCAAATTATAATATTTTTCACATGTTACTTTATATTAATAATGACAATATTTTGTAAGCGTATCCTGAAAATGGATAGCATACAGTAATTTTGGATAAAATTACAAAAACAAGAATTTAAATCACATTAAATATAATTAAGAGATGAATTTTTCTTGATAATAATTTTCGTATTATTTTATACTTAAAACACCTGTTTGTTTTCTCATTGTTATATACACATACATATTTCATTATTTTATTAGTCCAAATTTTATTCTGAACAATAGGAAATTTATATGGAAATTTTATTTTTGGAGTATCAAGCTTACTTAATTTAGGATATAATTATCAACTAACTCGGATATCATATCAGTTAATCTTTCTCTATAAATTTTATCTTTGTTAAAGGCAAGTAAGCAAAGCTCTCCCCGTCTATTTTTCAGGAATTCTGCAAATTCTGTGGAATTATTAAGGAAACTTGTAGTGAGATCTGTTGGTAAAATGGTTAAATGAGAAAATAAACAACTTTCAATTAATCCAGCTAGGCGATAATAATCCAAACTTTTCATGAATTCTTCTAATGGAAGAATTCCATTTAAATTCATTTCATGTTGAAATAAATTGTTTTCTAAGAATCCATAATATTTTTTAACAAGTTTTTCCAAATTGTCTTCTCGAAATTTACGGCTTGTTGGAATTGTAAGTACCGTAATAACGTCAAGCATTGGTGGGGCAAATCTCGCCAATTGAAAGTCAACCATTCTACAATCTACAATTTGTTGTTTTTGTGTTATTTGATCTATTTCATAGCGAAACATAACATTATTTGCCCATAAATCTCCATGATTGATAACATTTCGAAATTCTTTTGATATCTTCGCAAACTCAAAAATTTTTTTTAATTGTTTTGGGAATTCATTTTTTATATAATTCCATTTCATAGAATTTTTATATTTTGGTATTGCTTCAAGTATTTCTGTAAGAGTTGCTATCGATTTCATTACATATGCATATCTTGATCCTTTTGTATCAGTTGGATAAGCGTTTTCTGGTAATGAATCATGAAATATATCATTAATTGGCTTTCCAATACGATTTTCAAGAATAAGGGAGGCTGAATGAAAATTTGCAAGCACTTTCATAACTGCAAGTAAATGTTCATAATCTAAAATACCATTACGTTCGGAAGCCATTTGAAATCCTTGATCAGCTAAATTTTCAAAAACTAACATATTATGTTTAGCAAAAAAACATTTTGGAGAAAAATTTCCAAGTGAAACATTAATACTTGTTAATCTTGGAATTATTTGTGTATAAACATGAACTTCCTTTTGAAATACTCCAAGTTCTTCAATATATTCCTTATGGGAAAGTACAGCTTCCGGAACACATTTTAGAAAAAATTTTAACTTGTGTTTTACGACTCCAGTTGATGATGATCGTTCCACAATAACATGTAAAAATTGATGATCACCTAAAAATCCACTTGGTTCATTTCCAATATTTGTTTTCTCATATGTGATTACTCGAATATTATCATCCAAATTATCCATGAAAAATCTTTGACAACATTTTTGTACATCTAATTTAGTTAAAGTTGTACTTTCCAATGGAGTTAGAACTTCCATGATCTTATATTATAATTATATATAAACAGATGCTTTTAGTAGAAAGGATAAAATAACACTGAGTAGATTTGATACCAAAATATTCATTTTTAAGTGATTAGATTTTTGGAAAGCTTAGAAATGTCATGAATATAAAAAAATAAATATAATTTAAGATAATTTGAGATAATATGAAAAGATTTTATACGTTTGTAAAATTCATAAGAGTTTATCTTCGATTTGTAAGCATATGATATAAAATGTTATTTTGTTAATCAAATATTTTATTAGAATGTTGATTTTTTAATAATATAATCTAGAATGTAAATAATTCATGTTCCGAAATTAAAAACATACAATTTATCTTATTTAGTTTTATATATATAGCTATTTAATATAATAATAGACGGACGTTGTGGTGTTGTTTTTAATTGGATTTAAGTTTCACATTGAATTAGTTTTAGAATTTATTAATTACCAAAATTGATTAAAGTTGATTGAATTCCAACACAATTGAGAATGCAATCAGAAAACATTTTTCTTTGACTTTTTCTATTATCATGAAGCGATCCTTGTTTCAACGGATTTTGATTACACTTTAAATTGTTCTGCTATGTCTTTTTAAATAACGTGTTGAAGATAATTAATTCCGAAATTTATTAGATATTCACTTGATTTTTGTTAATCGCATAAAATTCATCACATAGCTATTTCATTTGTTTTAGTACTACTTTTAAATAATTTCAAAAATCACACTTTTATGATCTTTCAATAAACGTTCTAAAAACGTGACAACGTAAAATTTTCGCATGCTGTACACCTATATCTCCTTTTTGTAATTTTTATTTTGATTTTGATAAGAATTGTAAATAGAATTATTATTTGCAACTACCGTTATGTTTTTTTTTAAATTTAGTTTTTTAAATAAAATAAATTTTAATAAATTTTTACTTGAAAGACAGCAGAATCGTGTCAAATAATATCAAAGAAATTATACAGTCATATATTTTATGTGTTCATGTGTGCGTGTATATTCGCTTGGCAGTGTGTTAATCTATGAATATATGTACATAACTTCTTAAGAGTATATAAAAAATTTACAATCTATAAAAAAAAGTTAGGCAACAAAAAAATAAAGCCAATCTAAAATAATTAAATATTGCATATTTATTGGGGCAAACTTTTTGAAATTTTTTCAAATAATAAATTTAGGGTATGCAATTTTATATTTCATTTATATTTTTGACTGAAAATTTATGATTACTGTTTTTCATGTTTTTTGTGAACCTTGGAAAAAATCAAGTAAATTGTAGGATTGTAATCAAATAAATGGAAAAATTCAATTAATGTTCTTGTATTAGTAAGTAATTTATTGATTTTGTAATTAATTTAACAACTGTTTTATTGTTTTCAGAAAATATCATTATAGCTGGTATTATTGTTTTGTTATTTAGTCATAACATTGTGGTTTTAAAGTTAATATACTCGCTGAATGTAATAGATAGAATTTTGTTTAATTTAGAAAAATTATAATAGGGGTTTTTAATTTTAATTTTTTCATATTATTTTCATTTAATGTTCAAAAAATGTAATTTAATCATCTTTAAAGAGAAATTGTATTCTGATACATGAAATATTTAAATAATTTTTATAGATTTATTAAATTTGTTAATTTGTTCAATTTGTTAGTCACGTACACATAATTCTGATTGTAAGTGCATAATATTAAATAACATATAATTGGTAAGCAGATTATGATTTCATAAAACTAACTATGTATTTGAATTTTAGTATATTTTCTTCTCATTAAAAAAAATAATTAAATGAATATTTTTGCAGGCACAATTAAATATTGTATGCTTTTAAGTAATCCAAATAAATAAATAAATAAATAAAAAGCATTTTTTCGCCATAATAAGAGGTAATTTTTTTTTTTGCATAGTTGCTATTTAATTTTAAATATATCATCATAATTTGTTTAACTTTTTAATTTATTGCACACACTTAATAAAAATAAAATTATTATCTTTGATTCTTACATTTTTATTCTGTTTTAAATTATAATATAAATAATAAAATATTTTTTTACCGCAATTATGGTATTAAATTCAAATGGAAACAGGTACGTTTCAATAATTGAAATCTGTATGAAAAAAATTAGTACAAATATTAAGAAGCCATGAAAATTCTATACCGATACCATTTATATAACATAATATTCAAAATTACATAATTATATGTATAGAATGTGAATCTATATGTTTTGATATTATCCAATTATATGGCGTTATATCGCGTTCTTAATTTTATAATTTTACAAATTTCAAAGGTGAAATTAGGTTTTTTACGAATTATCAATTAATTTTAAAATACTGTTTGTTATAGGCGATATACAATTCACTGTCCATAATTTTTATTTTAAATTAAATTTATTTTATTTTATCAAGATCAGCTGTTTTATAAGTACTTATATAATTTTTAGAAATAACTTTTTATAGAAGCATGAGATATAGTAGAATCCGATTTCATTTTAAGTGTGATAACTGCATGTGATTAAGAAATGAAGAACGAGTTATTAAAAAAAGAAATAAATCAAAATATTTTAGAATACTAATTAATTATTTGAAAGCCTTGTTAATTTGTTTAACAACATTTATTATAAATTATAAATTCTAAACTCAATTACCATATAGTACACGTTGCAGAGCAGGAAAATTATAAAGAGGTCCCATAAGAAGCCAGTTACAGGACAAAAACAATTTTTTTTCGTCTTCATCGTTTAATAACTTTTGTAAGAATTAAAATTTGAAATTTTTAAAATTTCCCTATTAAATAATTTAATTTTTTTTACATTAGTTAAAGATATAAATGACAAAATTAAAAAAATTATTGAATTATTAAGAAAAATAGTATACAATATAGTATGAAATATACGTCCACGCAGGTAAAAGACAAATTTTGTCTAGGACTCTAATTTTTGGAGTATATTTTGATTATATTTTTATTAATCTTGTCGAAATGAAATATCCTTGATTAAAACGTAAAAAATACTCTAACTAATATGAAACTAAAAATATGTAAAAGTTATCGTTTTAATCACAAAAAACTTTAAAAACTATTAAAAAAAAATTATTTTTATAATAAATTTTAAAAAAATGTTTGCAATTTTAAAATATTTTAAAACGATATTTATGTCATAAGAGCGAAATAGTGTTCGAAATGAAAAATATTTAAAAATTCTTTCTAGAAACGCAAAACTCTTATAACATAAATGTACGTTTTCTGGGGAATTATTATACTATCTATTCCTAAACCAGCCCATTGGTACAGGAACTCACCCTACATATGAATGAACAAATCTATTTAAAAAATCTAAATAATATACAAATATTAAAAAATAATTATTTGTTAAAAAATAAAATTATTTACACAATATTAAATTAGAATTATTCAATTGTTATAATAAACGAATGTGTATATATATACACAAAAAAAAACATAGTAAAATGATAACAGATATGTCATTATAATCTTTGAGAGAAAAAAAAACCAAAACTAAAAACTAAAAAATGATCACACCTTTTATAGATATTCAAGAGTATACCATAATCTTATCATTTTAAATTAGTTATAAAAAAAAGCTCCTGAAAATTGTTATAAAGTCTGATTTGAAGCTGAGATATTTAATTCAGAAAATTTAAATTAAATAGAAAAATTGATAAATATATCGATAAATAAAATCGATAAATATATTGAATTTAACTTACTTATATACATATATCACTTATATATATGTACATATATATATGAATTGATAAATTGCGCACCTAAACTTTTAATTTAAACTCATTTTAAAAAAAAAATAGTTAAAGTGTATTAAAAAAAAAGGTCAAAATTTATTTTTGTTTTTTATATACTTGCGACCCATTTTGCATATTAACTTTATTTTTTTGAAATACATACATACATATGAACATAAATAAAAATAATATAAACAAACAAATAATCAAAAAATACCCACAAATCCCACAAATATACACAAAAATTTTCATAATCGATCGACGCAAATACAACGATAAATTTTTTATGGGGGTACCGTTTAGTCTACACGATATTAATAATTTCAAAAAAAAAAAAAAAAATAACAAAAAAAAATATTCTAATATTATTTTATCGGCGATACTATCAGTGATCCATCTAGCAATAGCTAGTCAATAAGTTTTTGCATTTTTTTCTCTACTTTTTGATTTTGTTCTTTTTTTTTACATTTTGCGAAATCTTATAAATTTTCCCCTTTTTAGTGATATTCTGTTAGTTTAAGAGATCGCGGTTTGGTTTTTATATTAATTGTGTTCTGTTCTTTTATATTTTTTTTATTTTATTTTTTGGTTTTGTATGCCGCCGTGTCTTTAGTTTACAAATAAAAAAATAAAAAAATAAGAAAAAAAAATTAAAATCAATATTTTTTTTTATTAGGGCTTCCGATATTTGTTTTCAATATCTACTTATATATACAAGCATTATATACAATTATATCATGTATGTATAATCTAGATAATTAATAAAAAGAAAATAAACAGAAAAAAAAACAATTTTTAAAAAATTAAATACACAAAATTGAAATTTTTAATTTTGAAGAACTCAAAACAGTTATTATTGAAAATTATGTTGTTGTGTAAAGATGAATGCTTTAAAATTGTGAAAAGATCACTTAATTATACAAATTTTAAATTAATTAATTATGATATACAAAAAGCATCTGATGATAATGTTGGATTTCTTGGTGAATATTATAAATTAATAGCAGAAATTGAAAATGTAAGAATAAATTGTATATGAATATTATTAATTTATTAATGATATAATAAAAGTGTTATACATGTGCTATATGATATTTATATTTAAATATATATTTTATAATAAATATGCATACGCATACTAAATAGTGTTTTTTCAAATAACAAAATTTTTGTTTGTTTTTCCTTCATTTTATTTGTGTCTCTCATATAGTGTTTTGTTTATATATGAATATAATATGTAGATGAATATGATAAAATTAAAACTATTCTACACAATATAATAAAATTTTGTATATATTTATAGAATTTTATTTTGAATAAATTCCAAAAGCTTATTGTAGCTTTTCGAAATTTAATTTTGATGATTATTCAAAAAAAAAACAAAAAAGAGGAAAATTCTTTATAATAAAATGTTATACATATAGGAATTGCATTTAAAAGTGTATACAAAATAAAACAAGTCTAATGTGTCATTATTACTTAAGAAGTAACAGAGTTTTGGAATGGAAATTGCAAAATGGATTTAGGTCACTTTCAGAATAAATCGTCCTATTTATTAAATCAAACCACTAATTATATAAATAAGATGGAGTATTAAAATTATTTTGTTCAAATTAATAATTATTAATTTAAATAATTAATTATTTGTGTTATTTTTAATAATTATTTGTATTTGTTTAAAAAATAACATCATTTCAAATTTACTTTAAAAAAAAAAACGGATTTTTAAGTATACATATACAAATTAGAGTGATAAAAAACCTTATTGTTTTTTTTTAGGTGTTAACTGAAATTTAATCAATTAAAATTTATTAATTGATAATGTTATACAATAAACTGTTGAAAATAATCATTGGAAATATAAAATTCAACAAGTGAATCTAATTTGCGATATTAATTTACGGTATAAATACCATAATTATCGTTATCTTAAATTTAATTAGCAACTATGCTAGGAAATTTTTTGTTAAGTATCACTACTTTCAAAATTGTAAAGAAAATCTATTTTTAAACCGTCTTGTATAGTCTCTTAACTTTTTTAATTTTTTTTTAAATTCTGCAAAGTATAAGAAGTTTACAAAATATTGTGTTTACGTCATTGGAAAAATTTGAAATTTAAATTGTCAAAATATGCTTGACAACTTGTCTGAAAATTTATAATTACAACTTTGTTATAATTTAGACAGAAAATAAAAAAAATTTAAAAACAATTAAAGTTTATGACTGTATGTATGAAATTAGAACTCAAATGCACTACCAATTTTTAGGAGTGCGTTCTGAAAATGTATAAAAAGAATCATAATTTTATTCAAGCTGATTTTTATAGCGATTTCTTTTTTGATACTTTCTCCTCCCTCTTGAATTAAAAAAAAAAAGTGGCTCCCTGTACACTGTAGACCTTCATATATGTCGCCAACATCTAAAATCAGCCCTGTTTAGACAATATGTATACAAGGGTACGATATAAAAGTGTTATTCATAGAAATCTCAGTTAATATTCAAATAGAAACTAGAAATGTGTATAGCTATGCAAAACGATATTTATACAAAATTAAATATAAATATTTGTTATTTATAAATAAGGAAAGTGGGCACCTATACTGTCAACCTCAAAATTTTCCACACTTGTTGAATTTTGTATTTAATTATTATCTTATCATCAAATTTATAAGTTTATTATTATTAAAATTTTGTTCTCTTTAGTATGTTATTTCAATATTATTGCGACAATCATATAAAATATTTAGTAAGCAAACAATTTCATCTCATATTACTTAGTAATTTCATGCAATTTAATATGATTGGAATTTTAAAATAGAATTTTAGAAAAATATAAATGCAGGGTGTTTTTTTTTTTTGCTGTTTGATTTATTTTTACTTCGGCGTCTTAAATAAAAATTATGCATATTATGCAAATTTGTAATTTTACGGGATTTTATTGGAATAAAAGAAATTACAGTACTTTCTTTGAATTACCTAAGAATTTTTTGATTACCTTTTTGACTACTTTGAAAGCTTAAGTCATTTTAGAATATACATATTATATACATATACATATATTATTAAAATTTCAATTTAATCTTTAAATTTTAATATATTTATTTCAGGATAATGGAAAAATACAAAGTTTGCGATTTTTTATTAAAACAATTCCACAATCAAATTTAGAGCATAAAAAAATTATACAGGAAATCGGAGTATTTAAAAAAGAAATCAAAATTTATGAATTAATTCGGGAATGGAATGATTATTTTTCAATAAGTTTTAGTCCAAAATGTTTATTTTCCAAAACAGAACTGATTGTTTTGGAAGATCTAATAGCCTTAGATTATTATCAAATACCAGAAGATACTGAATATAGTATTACTCACTTAAAAGCAGTTTTAAATGCACTAGCTGGTATGCATGCATCAAGTATAGCATATGAAGTTAAAGAAGGGTTGACTATAGAAAATAAACTTAAAAATGAACTTTTTGAAACTTCAGTTAGTAAAGATATTACTTGGTTTTTAGCCGGTTTAGAAGTAAGTACAAATTTTCTTATTTGATTATTATTTTTTTAACATAATTTTAGAAATTTTTCAAATGTATTGTTTTTTTCATATTTTTATATTTGTTTTGATTTGTAAATTTTTAACATTTTTAAGTTGTAGAAACGTATAAATTAAAATTTTTTCTATTGTATTTTAGGCAGTAAAATGTGCAGCACTGAAACACCCGAAATTCCAAGACGATATTCATCAAAATTTCATATCAAATGAGTTTTTAAAAAAATTAGATCCAGTATGTCAAATGGTCAATGCATCAACAAAGTATAGAAATGTTTTATGTCATCGAGACGTTTGGGGTAGAAATATATTCTTTAAGGAAGATAATAACAACAATAAAAATTCATTAACAAGTATTTTGGTTGATTATCAAACATGCCGATATTGTCCACCTGCGATCGATATTCTATTTTTATTACATTTAAATGTTCGAAAACAATATAGAGAAAAATTTTATATAGAATGTTTGAAATTTTATCATGAAATACTTGAAAAGAATTTATTATTTTTAAAAGTACCCAAAATACATCATATATCTTATGAGGAAATAGTACAAAGTTGTAATGATTTTAAATTATTTGGAGTAGTTTATGATAGTATTGCAGCAACAATTGTTCGTCTTCCAAAAGGTTATTTACCAAATTTGAAAAAAACAGATCCAAAATTGTATTATGAATTTTCAAATGTTAGCCGAAATAAGATTGTATTGAATTTTTTAGAAAATGATTCTAATTTTAAAGAGTATTTATTTCAATGTATTGAAGAAATAATGGAAATTATTTATTAAAAAATTTACAAATCCTATTTTAATAATTATTTATAAAAGTTGTTAAATGTTTTTGTTGTTTTGACTGTTATATATTTTTGTATATAGTAATATTCTTTTTTTTTTTAATAAAATGAAAGTACAATAACTGGAAATAGCTATCTTTTATTTAATGCATTAAAAAAAAAGTTGTATACTAGTATTGAAAGTTTTTTAGTGAGTGCAGTTTAATTAAAGAAGAAGGAATTTATTGTTATATTTTTTAAGAAAATTTGAAATGAAGAGATAAACTCTATTTGATATACCTGAAACTTAATTTTTTTAGAATTTTGATACTTACTAAGCATTCCGATGGCTACATTAAAAATAAGAGTGTAAAAACAACCCTACTTTAGCATTATTAGTCAAAAATTTATTAACACAGCATGTTCGATAAAAATTAAATAAATTTTTTGAAGAAAAAATTAATACTTTTAAAACAAATTCCGCCGTATATGTATAGAATAAAAGAAAACGAAATCTTCAACAATTTTTTGCATCATTTTGCAAATTTTTATTACATTTATATTTTATAAAATTTTCAATTAGATCTTCAACTGTTTCAAACATAATTTTTCGGAATTCATCACTTTCATCTATAAATTTTAAAACACATTCATCTCGATTATTCTTAAGATAAGAATCATATTTGGCAGGATCATTTTTTCGTAAATTAACAAAAAAATAATTATCTGGTGTATTGATAAATGGTAAATAAACTCCTTTGAATACTAATGGTAATAACATTCCCTCATTACATGTAAGTAAAAACTCATCAAAACTTAGAATAGAATCAATTTGAAGATCGAAATTTTTTAACATATTCTTTAAATTATCGTAATAAAATTTTGTACACCAATCAAAATTTTTTTTTCTATCCTCACTATTTTGATTTAATACGAAAAACATCATAAAATCTATAGCTGGAGGGCAATATGTACAATTTTGGAAATCAACAAAAATTGCTTGTTTTGGTATACTATTGGTATTTTCATCATATTTAAAAAGGATATTTCGACTCCATATATCCCGATGACAAAATGTATTTAAATATATTTTTGATGGATTTGCAAAATTTTCAAGAAATTCATAATTGTCTGGATCTGGAGTTATTTCGTTTATATTTTCATTTTGATATTTTGGAATTTTTTTCGCTGCTGCTCGCACTGCCTAAAATGAATACAAAATTTAAGATTAAAAAATTCTTTTTCAATAAATATATATAATAATTTTTTACCATTAGACCAGCACGAAACCAACCAGTCGTATCATTTAAACTTATTTCAAATAAATTAGATTTATATTTTTCTCCAATGCATAATCCAGTTTTCTTTTCAAAAACAATACTGCTACAATGCATTTGTGCCATACATTTTAGTGTTACTTGTAAATGTTGTTCAGTTATTTGTTCATTATCATCAAGGTTACGAAATCCAAAATGAGTTAAATTTTCAAAAACAAGAAGATCAGGTCTTGTATAATAACATTTTGGATGCCAATTACAAGTTGCTAGAACATATAGAAAATTAAATTTTGCAAAAATATTATATTTTAATAAAATATACTTACTGTATTTTTCCATTTCGTTAAATAAATCTGTGTAAAAATTTACTTCTTTTGGAAATATGCAGAGTTCATCAACTAGATTTCTATTCAACTCATTTGTAACCGGAAGAGCTTTTATAAAATACTCAAATAGTTTTCCTTTATGAGCTTTTTTCTACATGTGTATAAAATTTTTTTGAGAATAAAAACAAAAATTATTTTGGTTTAATAAAATCAATAAAAAATTTTTATAATCTTATAATCTCTTTGAGGGGTTGGCGGTGGTGTATTTTTTCTGGGTGCAAGTATGTATACATATGTATTTATTTTATGAACTTAGAAATTTCAAAATGGTTATATTGTTTTAGAAATGTTTGCCATAAATTGTGGAGAAATTTTAAATAAAAAAATAAAACTATTTTGACTTATCTCTGAAATTTTCACAATAGATGTTTGTTTATGGAATAATTACATAAATTTTAAAATAAATTCAAAGAAAACAGAAATGAGTGAAAATAATGAGTGAAAATTTATTGAGATGTATTTTTTATTTTTGTTGTTTATTTTTGCTATTATTTGCACTTTTTGTTGTCGTTTGTCAAAAAATGAAAATTTTTCGCGAATTGAAAAAAAAAAATTGAATATTATTTTTTAAGTTAATTTAAAACTGTTGGGCTTCCAATTGTTCTATCAAATTGCAAATTTAAACTCAAAAAACTGACAAATAGACCTAAAATATATGTATGTATGTGTATAATACGCATTATATTTATATCCATATTTTTACAAAAATGTTTGGAAAAATAAAAATTTTTAAAATTGTCTAAATTATTTTATTGATAAGATTGTCTTTCAGAGATGTTGTAATACAAGCATTTCATACGGCTTTTACTTTTGGACTACAGGAAATAAAAAACAGATATTTTATTTATCGGCTTTCTGTGGGCTGTCTGAACGTAATCTTGATTACATAGGGTAAATATGTCATAATTAATATATGTATATTTTTTATAAAGGACTGATAATATTTCTCAAATTTATTATTTACATATCACAGGTAAGAACATATATTATAATAAAATAGCGTTATCTGTGGTCAAAAATTTGATTTGTTTGACAATTTCATGTACAAAAAATTTTTGTTGTCATCTTTATAAAGTTTATTATTTTTTATTATCTGTAGTGGATGAACTTGTTAATTGTTATATTTGATAATTTTTTCGCTTCTACAGTTAGGATTATATTTAAAAATAATTATTGACAATTACACAAGAGGCCAGGTATAGTTGCATTGAAATTTTAAAACACAAAATATTTAGTTGTTCTTATTGCTGATGTGTACATATGACACACACTTATATATTGTTGTATTTTATCAAAACTCACCATAAATACTAACTTTTTTAATAGATATTCTTAAATTATAATATTCACCAAGATAACCTCTAACATCATTTGAAGCTGGAACAATTTCAAATTGAAAATTTTTTAAATTCAAATTAATTTTATTATCATCTGAAGTAACTGTTTTAATTATTTGTAAACATTCGGTTTTATTAATTAATTCTTTATAATCGAGTATATTTGCCATATTATGTTTGTTTTTTTTTAATTTTCAATTAAATTATTAAATCATATAAATTTTCATATGTATAGGTATGGACTTTTTAATAAATACTTTCTCTATATAAGCGTTATAGAATATCTTCAACCGAATGAATTAAAGTAGAGTATAAAACTGATTTAAATTTTTGAAGAAAATACACCTCGTGGCGACATTGATCAAGTTAATCTCTCGGATCGTTATAAACACAACAATAAACTGTTGATAATTTTTGTATTTTACATTTTTTTCCCTAATAAATTAAACAAATTAAATTATACTTATGTATATAAATATATATTATATTTTATAGTTGTGCTAATAGACATTAAATGCTTTAATTTTATAATTTAAATTTTATTATATGTATATAACATTTAAGTATATGTGTATTTACTGAGTACATAAATGGTTTTATATGGATCTATATTTATTTTAGTTCAGACATATTTCTTTGTGTATCATTCATATTATAAAGAATGAATGTACTAAAAAGAAGAAAAATATATTAGTAGCAACATCATCTTCAATATTATTTAAAATTATCTATATGCATATATCACAAACAAATGTACAAATATAATACAGTAATGCAAATGTGTAATGATGTTGTATAGACATTTGAATTTAGCATTAGAAAATACTGTAATGATAATAGTGTTGACAACATGTTATTAAAATGATTATCTTGCAAGTGATATTAAGTTAAATAAATGGAAAATTTTTTTTATCAAAAAATTTATCAAAATTATAAAATGTTGACGTTGCTAAATTTATTGTTAACTTTAATTTTCAATTTTCTTCCACTTAAAATTGATTTGTTTTTGCCCATCAACTTAATTCAGATGCAAGAAATCATTATTGAGAAATCATTATACATACTTTTGTAAAAATTTACAAGGTTTATTGAAATTGACAATATTGAAAATAAATTTTATAAACTTACCGAAAATTTATTTAAATATTTGTTGAACAGTTGAATTAATGTTATTTTCACATAAAGCGAAACTGTCAAAAAATTTTGATATACTATAAGTAAATTTATTTGTTTTTGGCAACACTACTCGTTTCGTTTTGTTAAGATTTCAATCTTGTAAATGTAAGTCTAGCGAAATTTCAATAAGAATATTATCTATAAAGAAACAATTGTGATATACGAGTATGAAAATAAATTTAGTCTGATTTAATAATAAAAATTATGTCAGAATATTCATGTGTACATATATATGTATGTATGTATATGTGTATATATAATTTTATGTACAATGTCAATTATAATATGAACCTCAATTTTCAGTTTAGGGTTGCATTTTGAATTTTCAATAGGTTATAGCATCTGTTATATTTTATATAACTGCAGGTTCTGCAGGTATAATTTTACAATATAATTTTCGTATTTTACATATAAATGTTATGTACATATAGTTATGTACATAACTATATGTAAAAAAAGATTCATTATTCAAGTTCTCTGCAAGTTTATTAAATATTTGACTTTTCTATTATATACTTTTAGAAATGTAAACGCATTATTGTGTTACAAAGAATAATGTTAATTGAAAAACATTTGGTGTTTAGATTAACAAAATATACAAAAATATATCTAATAAATATGTGTTCATACCTATGTTTGGAAGAAGTACTTATGCAGTAGAGTAACTTAGTGAGGAATTTTAACAGAATTTGAGGAATACAATAATACGTTTAGAAAAACAAGTAAGGAAAAATTATCGCGAAAAACAAAAATAAATGTAAATGTAAAAAAGTTTTTCTAACACATTGGAATAATTTGAGCATACAGAAACTTAACGTAATGCATAGTTCACCCAATATAAAGCTATTTTCCATTAATGTCCTTCCAAATGTAGTGGATTAACTCTTCATGAACTTCAAACAGTACATTTTTATAATATTCATGTTCTTTCATTAGATTGAGCAACATTTCATCACGATTAACTGTCATATAATAACTGAATTTATCTTGTTGATTTTGTTTCATATTATCGGCCCATCCTTCAGGTAATTTTGTTAAAGGAAAACACATTGCACACAATATTAAAACAACTAATTTCATTTCTTGACAACTATCACAAAATTCTTTCCATGTGATCACATTTTTATCCGATATATTATTTTTAGAAATTTTATCTTGTAAATTATTAAAATAAAATAATAATAATTCTTCTAATATATTTTCACGTTCCTTTGTATTTGTGTTCATATAGATAAAGAAAAGGACATCCATCGCTGGTGGAATATATCTAGTTAATTGAAAATCAACAAAGGTACAGCCTATAGGTAAACCATTTTTATCATATTTAAATAATAAATTCTTGTCCCATGAATCACGATGACAGAAAACATTACGATATTTTTTTGAAATTTTAACTTTTTCTTCAGCCTTCAATAAATAATTTATTAGTTCGGATTGGAAAAATTCTTGATAGTTTTTGTTTTGATATTTTGGATGGATTTTTGCAATTGCTACTATTCCCTAAAAAAAGTAATAAACAAAAATTATATTAATTTTAAATTTGAATATATTTAACAGTACTATCAAGCAAAATAGGAGATTACCTTTAAACCAGCGGCATACCAAGTATTATTAATGTTAACTTGAATTTCATGTAGATATTTTTCATATTTTTCACCAATATTTACTCCTGTGTTGTACTCATAAATCATACCACTTACATGTAATGTTGCTTGACTTTTTAACGTTACTTTAAAATGTTCCATTGTCAACATTTCATTTTTTTTGAGATTGTAATAATTTTTTGTTGTTAAATCTTCGAATACCATCATATCAGGTCGGGTGTAAACACAATTGGCAAAACATTTTTCATCACCTAAATAATTTTTTAGTGAAATAAATGTTGATTTTAAAACTGTAATTATAAATATTAAATTCGGCTTACAATATGGTTCCAATTCCTTTAAAATTTTTGTATAAATTCCAATTTCTTTTTCAAAGAAACCTTTTTCTTCAATTTCTTTTTTATGAAGAGGATTTGTTACCGGTACAACTTTTAAAAAGAAATTTTCCGTCTGTGATTCATTGTTGTTCTGTTGAAATTATAAATATTATTATTTTTGACTAATAAAAATTTTAGTAAATTTACAATAGAATAGCATATTTTTAAGCCATAGTATTCCCCCATAAATCCTACAACTTCACCAACTTTTTGTTTAACTTCATAATTATGAATTAAAATTGTTTTCTGTGCTGAGATTTTTAAGAAATTCGATATAATTTTATAACATTCAGAATCGGAAATTATTTTTGACATTGCTACAATTTGACCAGCTAGAGAGTTAAATTCGAACTAAGATATTTTTTATTATTTTTAATTTTTTAGAAATTTTATAAGATTTTGTTGTGCACGAGTGACGTAGAAATGTGCAAAATTTGTGAAAGATAAGAATTTTAAAAAGCTTTGAAAAACCCGTATAACAATCTTAAATTTTATTTCAAAATTTATTTGAAATAATTTTGTTTATATTTTTTTGAATCACTAATTACTTTTAAATAAATTTATGTAAAGATACCATGTAATTTCATTATTTACTTCAGAAGTCAATCCTTAATTTATTCAATTTAAAATTGTGTATTCTATGATTTCTTTACTTCATTTGCGTAGATTAAAATTAATAATTTATCTCTAAAAACGCACCTTTGTAATATTTTCTCTAATTTTCGTGTGATTTCTTTGAACCTTCTTAATATATTGTGTGCAATCACTGTATTTGTGAATATTTTATTATAAAAATAATATTTTTTACTATTTAACATGTATTTTTTCAGCAATCATGGGAAAATTTAATATTTTTCTCAAAAAATATTCAAAATTGTTTATCGGGTAATTCACCATAGAATATCTTTTTATTACTTTAAATATTTATTGTTGATAAAAATTTGCTTTAATCTTTCTAACTGATAATTCAAAGAGATATGTTAATAGACTTTTTCTCATTTTTTTTTATCTCTAATAGTGTTACATAAATATTATTGCATTTACATACACCTGATACAAATTTTATTATTGACCTTAAAAAATTCAAATGCGTACAAGTATAAATGTGAAATAATTAATAAACAAATAACATATTAGAAGATTATATAATATGTATTTAAATATTATAAAAAATATTTTAGAAAATTTAGAAAATAAATAAATTCGATTGTTTAAGGAATTATTAAAATTTGAAACGGCTGCATATATAGTTATGCCAAAAGAAAAACTTGAAATTTGAGTTAAGTGTTTAGCTTTTATTTTGGTTAATATGTTAAAAGGTCAAAAGTTAATATTTGGTTTTTGAGATGTGTGGCAGCTACCCGAACCTCTCAAGAGATTCCACCAAAACTTCAGGACAGGAATACATGTGACCTGCGATTGGACACATTACTATCAAATGTCACAATAACACAAATCTGAGTTTATTTTACCAAATATTTAAAATTAACTTTTTGAGTTTTGTAACAACTACCCGAATTGGTCCAATTGGTTGTTCGAATTGGTCCAATTACAACAGCGGCCACCCTTGTCAGAAAAAAGAAAACTTGTGGAAATTTGGTGCTGATTGCTTTATTCGTTTTTGAGTTATCGTGCCATCGGTTAGACGGACAGACGGACGGACGAACATGCCTAAATGATCGCAACATTTTAAGCTGAGTAAGAATATATTCACATTGAATATACCCATTAAAATCAAGAAATAAACTAAATTGAATATACCCTTCACGAAGTTGCAATTTATAAAAATGTAAATATAATGGTTAATAAATAAATAAAAAAATAAATAAATTGAAACAATAGCTATATGAAAAATTGATTTTTCATAATTTCATTACGTTATCTTAAAATTTTATATTAGTTTTACAATAAAAATAATTAATATGAACGAAACATAAAAAAAATTTGGATTTCTTTGCATATATTTAGGCGAAACTTATTTTAGAAAAGATTTGTTTTAAGTTCAATACTTAAGTTTTCTATTTTAGTAAAATAATAAAGTTGGGTCAAACCAATGGTTTGTATTGTAGCACTTTTCCCTTCAACAAATGAAAATTCTGCTTTTAAATACAGTCTATGTATATCTATCACACTATTAAAATCATTTTCATTCATTACACAACTGTTTCTAGGATTGCATATATTTAGGTTGAACGACTTACGCAACCTTCAAAATAAAGCCAAAATTAATATAAAAAGGGGTTAACATAATGCTCGGTTTTAAGATTTAATTGTGTGAGTTAAGAAAAATAATTATATTCTTTAATGTGATGGAATTTACCGTTAGCTTTTTGCGTTTATAGAAATTTAAAAAAGCTTGCGGTTTCGGAAATATAAGGTGTCAAAAATTCAAATTTTACGAATTTCAAGAGGCGATAACTTGAGAGGGGGTGGAGACGAAAAAAAATTTTCTTCTAACGAAATCAACTACTTGTTAATGTCTAAAAGCTCCTAAAATTTCCAGCTTCTACAGGCTGGGGTCTAGAAGAAAAACGACATCAAATATTTGGAAAAAAAGGACTTTTGATAACGGTAAATTTGAACGGCCATTTTGTTTTTCTAAAGTTTAACTATAGTATACCGCGCTAGAGGAAGCAAGCCACTGCCTTTCTGCGTTGGCAAAATTTCAAAAATGCTTATGGTTTCATTGCAACAAATAGTTAAAAAAGGCCATTTTTAGGGTTTTGGGGGGGTGTAACTTCTAGAAGGGGGGAGATAGGTAAAAATTTTGTTCTACAGAAATAAGTTTCTAGTAAAGATCTATGTACGTATTAAATTTCAGCTTTCTATCTTCAAGGGTGTAAAAGTTTTGTAAACAAAAAAAGTTTCCACGGACGGACGGACGGACGTACGGACGGACTGACGGACGGACGGAAGAATAGAGTGAAACTAATAAGCACTTTTTTTCAAAAAATTTTTGGAAAAGTGTTAAAAAGGAGTGTTTATGTAAACACATATTGTATACATTGAATCAGTACGAAATATTTAAATATAATTAAAATATAAAAATTAAAAAACAAACATCAGATAACTAGCTAATTTAAAAATAAAATATGAATAAGGATACATTAAGACAAGATTTCCCGCCATAAATAAAAATTATATTTAGTAAGATGAAAATTATTTGAGATTTCCGTTGCACTCCGTTATTTTTGACATTCTCTTTTCCATATACATATACCAAAAAGTAATTAAAAATTCATTAACATCTTTCTTCCATTACTGGCTCTAAAATGTATTCATATATGTATGTGTGTGTATATGTTTGTTCATTACATGCAATTTGTGTACCTAAATAAAATAATGTAAACAAAAGTGAAGACCACGTGTTATGAGGAGTCATTGCGCCGGTCTGAAAGCTCTCTACTTCCGAATATTTTATTTATTTTTTATTTACTCCTATTTATTTCATTTTAGAACATTATGTATTATTATGTACCATAACGGTATATGTGTATATAAATAATATAAAATGAAATAAACAATGAAAAAGCTTAAAATCAAATACACAGAGAAAATGTTTAAAATGAGGAAAAAGTTCAATTCAGTCCTGTCTGAGAATTTGAACAATAAACAAAGTGAAATATAAAATTTTTTTTTTATTATTCTATTGTATATTTTAAGTTTGTTTTTGTGTGATTTATTCCATTTCCACCTTGAAAAAAAAATAAAAAAAAAAAAGTTTCTTTTCTTTCGAAAAACGATTTCGAAGGATATTTTGTATAACAGACAAAAAATAATTTTAATAGAATATTGAAAAAATGTGAAAATTCATAAAGAAAAAAATATTTAAATAAAAATCCCAAAAAAAAAAAATTAAATATAAATTTAATGAAATCAGAAATCGAATGATTTTAATGGAAATATGAGTGGAAAAATCGAAAAGTAAGTATGCTTGAAAAATATTTTTTTTTCTTTGTAAATTAGAGGAGGGCTAACTCAAATTATATTACTCATAAAAACTTGTATTTTATAAAACAATTAACAACGTTCTGTAATTAAATACGAAAATTTTTCTTATAAAGAAAAGTGGAAAGAAGATTTTATTAAAAATTTATTATTTTGGAATTTAACAATGTGATTTCGTAACAAATCGATTACAAACAACGATTCCAAAAAAAAGATCAGAAAAAGAAATTAATAAATAAAGGAAGAACAAAAGAAAGGAAAGCAAAAATAATCGATAGAAATTTCATTTTTTTTCTTTTTAACACACAACATACTTCTATTACATATGCTAAGCTATACATATATATGTGTATAAAACATATATATAAAAAATATATGTAAATATGATTTCATATATAACCTTATTTTAACTATACCTATATTCATATATGCAGATATTCTTATAATATTGGGATTTGAAAAAAATTACCATAAAAACAATGTATATATATATACATTGTGTATTCGATATACGCCATTAATATACTTATACGACACACGTATACATACTACGGTATCATATAGAATGAATATTCTAACAATATTGTGTTTTATGAGTACAATTACCTAGTTTATTACATTCACGATAATTTCAACCTATTTCAATGAAATCCTATGTATATAACTGTAACTCATATAATGTTAAATGAAAGTTAACACAAATAATATCATATTAGATTCTAATATCTTATTTAATATACATATGTATGTATTATTCATTATATTCTCTTGTGACTTTTCAAGATTTTATAAAAAGTTCGAATTTTCAATTAAATTTTATTTCTTGTTTTTATTTATTGAAAAAGGCAAAAAGGTATATATATTGTGAAAAGTGATTTTTATTTGGATTTCTCTCTACTGTCATGAGAGGAGGAAATTTACAGCATATGTGCGAATAGTTAAAGCATATATAACTATCGCATATATACTAGCTATATACATAATGTCTACACAGTAATGTTGATGATTTTGTGCCGTAATTTTAATTTTTGATACCATATTTGTATATATACTGACATATACGTTTGCACATATGTAGTATAATAAGATTTGAAAATGTTTCTTTTTTTTTTTGGTGTAATAGGCAATAAAATAAATGCCTATACACATGGATTTAAGTGATTGCATGCAGAGAGAAAGAAAGAGAGAGAGAGAGAGAGAGAGAGCGTGTAAAGGGCAAAAATTATTTTTATTCTTTATGTTTTCTTTTTTTTTTAGCACTTTTATGTAATCTTACTTTAACCACACTATTTGAGAAAGAAAGGGACCTAAATTTTTGTTTTTATGTTTTTTTTATTTCAATTTGAAAATAATTTTTAACCTTTTTTTGTTTTTTTTTTTCTTTTATATTTGCAACCATAAAGTTTTAATTTATGAAAAGTATTTTGGTTTTTTTTTTGTGTTTAGAAAATGTTGTTGGAATAAAATAAAATTGTGATGTAGACAGAATCCTTTTTATTTATTTTATTTAATTTTCATTAAAAAAATTTTAACAATGTTTTCGAAAATGGGGTAGCTATGTTTGAATAATTTTAAGTTGAAATTAATGAAATGACGTGTAGATGGTTATTTTGTTTTTATTGTGGTCATCGTAATAATATTTTGATTTTAGTTAAAAGAAGTTATCATTGCAATAAAAAGGAAAATCTAATAATACCAATAAAAATCATGCGATTTGAAATTTGTTAATAAGCTGGTCTTATAAAAAAATTTAAATTCTATTTTGTTAGCTTATAAAATTTTTTAATTTTTGTCTATTTTCTTCCAGTTTTCCAAATTAAAATGCGAGTAACCTTGACGTTACATTTTTTATTGAAATTTATTAAAGAACAATTTACATAAATCGCGCCGTAATTTATGCAATTTTTGAAAAATACTTTTTTATTATACATATACATAACTAACTAGCTATCTAGCAATATGAAAAACCTTTGAAAATAACTTTTTTTTATTTAATTAAATACGTATGTATATATTATGTTTATATTAATAAAAGATAAGCTATCAAACATGTGGAAAATATGTGTTTTCTATATAAATACAGTAAAATTTTCTATAGATGGAAAATTCTATCTATGCTGTATAAGCATACATAAAAAAAAATTAATCAATAAATTAGATAAAAAACATTTAACAAAAATATTCCGTACGTATTTTTATTTAGCTTCGATAAAAATGTTTATATAATAAATTAGCTAGGCTTAGCTGAATTTGGTGTATTTATTTCACAAATCATATTGCTCAACAATATTGCACTCGATTTGCGTTTTTTCTTGGTTTACAAGGATTTGAGATGGGGGAAGTAATTTTTGAATTTTTTCACAATATATTATTGTTTATTTTCTAACAGATTATTTTTTTGTTTATGTCCAAAATTTTATGATAAGATATTATTTATTTCGAGCTACAGTATAACAACTACTTGATTCTCTTATTAAAATTGCCACGTTATCAATGTGCAAAATAAAAAGAAAAATAATGTATAACAACCGGTTACTTCAATTTGTTAAATCTTAATTTCTAAAGAACCTATGTTATTTTTTTATATAGCAGAAATTTATAAAATTTAAATGCATTATTTTATAATATTGTAAATTTATTTTCTGTTATATAATTTATTGGAATTGAATTTTTTTGGGATAAATATACTTAATTACTTAATTGAAAAATTGTTTGTTATAAATTTTTTGAATATTTTATTTTCTATCATAACTTGAGAGACCAATTAACATAAATAAAAATCAAAATTTTCTAAAAACTAAGAAAATTGCATACTTTTAGGGCTATAATAACGAGGAATTGGAAATGCTAAGAAATCTTAATATAAAACCTAGTTTGGTTTAATAAAATTTATTTTAACAATTAATTTAATAATTAAATTGATTTTTATATGAATAATATTTGTATTGTATGATGTGGTTAGTATTGTTTACTAACCTACTGTTAGTAGTATTTCTAAATTAAAAAAAATAGTGAGGATAGAAAGATGATTTAAATTATACTTTAAACTAGAACTTAGATTTTTTTAAATATTTCAGCAAAATAATATTTCTTATTTAATATCAGAATTTGGAGCATAATACAGAATTATTTCGTTAAATGTATTTGTGTTCCAGTTTTTTATAAAAGATTTTAAACGTGAAATTTTTGAATTTATTCCAAAATATTTCTTTTTATTCATTTAATTTCAGTGAACCATTAAGACCTCGTATACAAAGCAAATTTAACTTTCTATGTATATTTGTTTGTGTAATAAGTACGGGTTGTATTATTATACAAAATCAAATAAAAATATTATTTTACTTTTACTTTAAATAAAGAAAAAATTTTCAAAATTGATAGTAAAAATCAAATTTTCTACAGAAACTTTTGATCACCCTTGGGGCTTAAAAATGTATTTTCTATAAGAATTGAACCAATCAAAATTTGTTATTTCCCTTTTCAAAAAGTTTTAACTAATATCCCTGCAAGGTGTATTCGTTATCAAAATCTTTAAGATTTCCACAATAAAAGTTACATAACTAATTTTTGTTTTTTATTTGATGAATTATTCTTTTTTTTGTTCATAAATATGTTGAAGTGTGGATATTTTACTAAAAATTATTTTACTTAATTTAATTTTTGAATGACGTCACATTTATTCTGATTTTTTAAATATAATCCTAGAATATTCATTCTAACTCGATTCAATTCAAAAAATTTAATAAGGAAAGGATAATAAAGTTGTCCGATAATAATTTTTTTTTTTAATTTTTCTCAAGACATATTTTTCATATAGAGAATAAATTTGTGTGCCCTTAAGTTATCCAATATATTAAATCAAATTAATCAATACTCTTTCATAATTTTTTTTAAAGTTTGTTCTGGAACTGATTGCATGCAACTTGAAATTTTCAATGTTAATAGTTGTCCTTTTTTTATTCCGCCTTACCCCACCAAATAATTGAAATTCATATTAATTTTGTAATTATCATGATTTTCCTTTTCAATTTCAAAAAACTTTTTATTAATTAATCATCCTTTTTTAGCGTCCTTTTAATTAAATTTTTGTTAATTTCATATTATTTTTCTTCTTATTACAAACAAATTTTCGCGTTTTTACATACACAATATCTTATATACAATATATACCAAGCATATATTAAAAAATATGAAAAAAATAAAAATTTTAATAATCATTTTCATCGCTTCTGCTCTGCTTTTTTTTCATTTTATGTGTCGTCGCAGTTACTGAAAAAAAAAAAATAGGAAATCAGTTTCAAACAATCACGAAAAATAAATTTTCTGCAACAAAAAATACAAATGTTCGTTTATTTGATTTTAATTTAACACCATAAAATTTAATCGATTCATATGGGATTTTATCCTCTAGTCTAAAAATAGAAGAGAAAAAAGAAAACAGAAAATAAATTATGAATATTATAAAAATAGGAGCGGAGCAACTCTCTATATAAGGGTATTAAGCATGAATTTTGCAATATGTAGTCAATCTTTATATCATCATCATATACTTAAGTGTATATATTCCAAATGTGCCTGCCTACTCATATGAATGTAGCACGTACATTACGTTGTATATTTATTAAAATCCATAATTTATAATGTATAAAATATTGCGACTTCATATAATTGCAAGGTTTCTCAAATTATTTTTTTTTTTTTTTTACCATCAATCATACGGAATAAAAACTAAAATTATAATTTTGGATATACGACACATCTGGGTCTAATTTTTTATATAATTGGTAATTAGGTTTTAATGGAATTTCTTTAGTATATTGTAGTTTTATACCATTTTATATTAAATTACCGGTGCCAGTGAGTTTATTTACTTACTTATGCGGCACAAGGAGTTTTACAAAAAATTTAATCATTTTAAAAAGGAACAAAGAATTGAAACATAAGATATCAATTAATTAATTAAGTATCCTACCATCTGATAATATGAGATTCATAGGGAACTTATTAACCTGTAAATTTAAAATCAGAAAATCTACCAGGCTGGAAAAATCCTTGATGTATATACATTGAAACTTTCTCATTTGCAAGTTTAATTTTTACTTTTTACACATTTTGAGTATAATAGGAGCCTAATGGCACAATAATCATAAATGGCAATTAAAAACGCCGTACAAAAAATTTATGTAGGTAGATGAGCTAGAAACTTCCAGTTAAGTGAAAGGGAATTTCGGTTTAGATTGTGCGGTACATTAATTTTTTACTGATTTTTGGGTTGTTTAAATTATAGTAATAGCGCACATACTCTTGCGAACAATAGGTCATACCTCTTCAGCTTCACCAAACTAGTTTCGGGAATCACAGAATGACTTTCTACATATCATGACATCACTTATTTCTACATATATTTTCATAAATCAATTGATATTTTTTTAAAATTTGAAATAAAATTTCGCACATAATTTGCCAATTTCTGCCATGAATTTTACGTTTGGAGGGGAATAATTTTATACCAATTAGATATATTAGGAAATTTTTCTTTATTTTTTTCATGAATGCTTTATAATTTTAAGATTTTTGGCCAAATCAATATATTAAATAACTATTTTACATAATTATATTACATTTATTATTATTGTAACAAAGCTTGAAATAAATGTTGCAATACACTGTTATATTTTTTACAATACTTGGGATTATTTATATGGCAATCTCATTAACATGTCGTTCAATGTAGGCACAATGTGTATACAATATATACAAAATATATACAAGACAATATGAGAACTGTATGAGCAAATTTCAAAAAAGGAAAAATTTTGAATTGATTTTGCATATATAGAAAAGTTTGTACATGATACGAGTATGTAGACTAGTTTATATAAATATGAGAATATAATGTATGTATTATGTGTTAATGTATACACTTATGTATATAACAAAAAATTAAAATATTTCAAATACTTGTTTATATATAATATATGAAAGGATAAAAAAAGGATAATATAAGTATGATTGTATTTTCATAAATACAAAATGTTCTTTTTTTATTTGCTGTATTTTTTTATTATACACAGTCTGTGCCATTTATAAGCACACCGAATACTTACTCATATGACTTTAATTATTTGTGAATTTTCTAGTTTTGTATCTATGTATATACAAACACACATATGTACTGTGTTCTGCATACTTCAAATAAGTATAGATTTTCACTCAAGTTGATTAAAGTAAAGAAGGACGTTTTTGCTGTTTGGTTTTTCGGATTATTTTTTTGTCATTTCGTGCATGATTCATTATAGTTAGATTTGTTAAAACAATTCAGTTTTGCTTGTTATTTCATTATTCAAAGTGACTAGCTACTGGACAAATCCGTACGTACTCGTAAATTAATAAAATACATTTTTTAGATTCGTCCATCTAGCACAGCTTGAAGCTTAGGGAATTATATACGAGCTGGACTGTACAAAAATAATATACAAGGCTGTTCTTATTAAAAACTATTTTCTATAACTATACATTTATAGTTTAAAATAAACATATAACAAAATCTTATTCACGTACCTCTACATAAATACATCAAGATTTTTTTATAATGTTCTGCACATGATATTTTTTTCTCTTCTTATATTTAAAGTGTGAAGTCACGTATAATGCTAGTTAGACTTCTTGAAAATTATTGCATTGAAAATTATTGTATATTTTATTAAAAATGGCATTACGAGTATAACAGATTCTTTTTGCATTATATGTAGAAAAATAGCATAAGAATTATAATTATAATATTTATAACAGTTTAAAATAAGAATTTAACAGTTTAAAATAAGAAATTAGTAAAATAATGCGATAAAATGAGATTTATTAACATTAAAATTCCATTCAATTGGAATTAAAATCGGAGCTTAAATTAAGGCCAAGGAAATCACGTGCCATTGTAAGTGTTTGTTTTCTTTCAAAATACGGATTATAGCGCTATACATATATGCTGTTGGGTGAATTAAACCATAGTGAGGGATTATCACACAATTTTTCAGTATCAATTTTCTTCGATTTTATACTGTCATTGTATTTAAACAAGAAGTCATTTATTTATATTGATATATCGCACCGTTTAATGATTTCATGATCTATATTTTTCCTTTTATTTGTGATATACAATCGACAATGCTCAAAAGTATAGCCCCAAATTTGATGCTCAGAATGTCCTCCATTAGAAGTTATGGTGGTCAAATCTCTTCTATCATTTTCGAATATTAGTGGCTTTGCTCACTGATATCTATGAATACCTGTACAGTGTTTCAACATTTAATTAAATATAATATAAAAATGAAACTGCATAAGGAAAACAAGTTTAATAAAATATTAAACAAAATTTTTATTTAAATATTTTATTAAATATTTTCACTACAATTTTATTGTTTAAAAATTTCACTGTAGAAAGCAAACTACTTTGAATTTAAATTAAATTTCGTTCCAAAAATTTTATTATTTCTTAAAAATGATAATTTATTTTAAAAATCCCAAAATGAAATCCATTACAACTTTTCAACACAAAAAAAAAAAACTTTTCTTTTTTTCTAAAATTAATTCTTTATAGCTAGTGTTGAGAATTAAATCAAAAAAAAAAGAAGTAATGAGTAATTGTCTTTTTGGTAAATTTACGGGAATAATTACTCATTTCCCATACATAACGAAATGAATTTCTCAGTAAGATAGATTAATTTTTTTTTTTCTATTTTTCTTTTTATTACTATTAATAATGGGGCCCTTAACTAAGACAATTCATTTTCACCAAATGAATCTATTCAATAAAGCGAGTATAGGATTTTTATGCTATAATTTTATTTCTTTAATTTTTGTCATTTTAGGATATTTGATATTGTTCCACAAGGTACAGGAGGAAGATGGGCTCTTGGAACTGTTATTCTTATTTATCTTGTAGCATATAATGAAACGAGTGGCCCAATTGCTGTTTTTTCAACATTATTAGCAGCTTTTTATGGATTTGTATCGGGTATGTAATAGAAATTTTATTTTCTTTTTGCGTATTTTTCTCATTTTTTTTTTTATAAATTGTGTACATACATACATGAATGTGAATATAGGCAGGTTTCATTGCCAAAAATATTTATTTATATTAAATTTCAATAAAAAATTTTTGGAGGTCAAAATAATTTTCAAATTTTTTTCTTGCTTTTGATATAAAAATAATTTCAAATTTGTTTTTTTTTTTGATGCCTGAAGCAAGAATAACTTCCATGAATTTTTGAAAAGAAATTTGTAAAAGAAAATACTTAATTTACTATGTGATTATAGGTTGAATTTTAAACTCCCAATCATTCTTACCTTAGGTTAATCAATCTCAACTTATTATGGATTCATATTATCGGGACGAGTGTTTGTAAACAAAGACACATCAAGTCATTCAGCAATTTCATAGAAGAGCTCATAATTCATTAAATAAAATTGTTCTACAAAAATCTAGAGTTCTTTTAAATCTAGATGTGTTGATCAATTAAAAAACATATATATATATATTTTTTGATTGCGCCGATCCAGTTGACTTAAGCCACAAGTCAAAAGTTTTTATCCTTGTATTTAATAATGAATTCAAACTCAAAATAGTATTACTCTAAGCAGAATTGGGTCCATCAATTTCTGTAAGAAATTGTCTTCTTTTTTTTTTGATTCTCCTATATTTTTGAATGTTGCTTTGTCATTGTTTTAACTCTCCTGACTTTTCTTTAAATATATTTTGTACTTCTTCTTGCATAATGCTGTCTCTTTATATAAATTCTACTGTCATCGTATAATTATCTTTGTTTACACTGGTACTAAAATTTCTACTGCTATACCAAAGTATTTTTAATACTTTTTCCAAACTTCTTTTTACAAAACTACCAAAGAAAATTAATTTTATTAATTATTATTGAAATCATAGCTCATTATAAATATTTCATACTTATGAATTTCGCCAGATTTTGATTAATTCAAAATCATTAATCAAATATCGCAGATTTATATTTCAACTTTAGAAAATTAATTGATTCATTTAATTTGACAAAAATCGCAAAAAATTTAATTTGACATAATGGTTGTTTTAAAATTTAAACTTCTTAGAAATTTTATCCTCTTTTAGTCGAAAAGAATTTTCTTTTCCAAGAATTTCAATATTATTTTTCGAATTGTCCCCCAAAAAGATTTTGAATTAAGAAAAATCACCAATAAAAGAGGAATGATTTTTTCACAGAATCTTACATATTTTCGTAAAATAAACAAAAATAAAAACAAGAAATAAAATTTTCAAATAAAAAATTTAAGAATCATAGAATAAGGATGAAAAAAGAGAAAATATACTTAATGTTGGATCAAACCAATGGTCTGTAAAGAAGCACTTTTTCCTTCAAAAACTGGAAATACTGCTTTTAAAAACAATCTATGTAGGTACTGCATTATTAAAATTACTTTTCTTCATATACGAATATATTTGAAAGATTGCATACATTTAGGATAAGAAATGCATGCAGTTTTTGAAATAAAACAAAAAAAATTTAAAGAGGCGTTAAAATACTGCGTTAAAATACTAAAATAAAATAATACAATGTAAGGGTTAATTGCGTGAGTCAAGAAAAATAAATGGAAATATATTAATAGGCGTTAAAAAATATAAAAATATTTTTAAACAACGGCATTTTGGAAATACGTATAAGGGGCCAAAAATTCAAATTTTACAATCCTCGAGACATGAACGAAGGACTTGAGAGGGAGTGGAGGTGGGAAAAAATTTTCTTTTAACGAAATAAACTATTTTTTAGTGTATAAAAGCTGCTAGAATTTTAAACTCCTACAAGCTGCGGTCTAAAAGAAAAACGATATCAAATAATCAATAGTCTATGAGAAAAAAGATGTCACTCAAACGATAAAAAATATGGAAAACCCGGATTTTAGATAACGGTAAATTTTAACGGCCATTTTGTTTTAAGTAAGCCCACCAGTACTTTTCTGCGTATTCAAAATTTGAAAAATGCTTATGTTTTCCTGCAATAAATAGTTGAAAAACGGTATTTCAAGGGCTTTGTAGGGCTATAACTTTTAGGGAGGACGAGCGGACGGACGAACGAACAGAATGAATTTAATAAACAATTTTTTTCATATATTTTTTTGAAAAAATGTTAAAAAAAAAAAAAATAAAAAAAATATGAAAATAAAAATAAATAAAAAGTAGAACGAGAGGCACGAAAATACACTTGTTTCTTAAACTAAGCAATTGAGCAATTACATTTCGAATGTTTGCCCAAGGGTGATTTTAGCATTGAATAAAGTAAGGATGTATCTACATAATATTCAAAGTAAATATTTTTTTTATATATACGATAAATAGATACCTTGATAAATGAATTGAAAAAGGTATGAAAGAAGGAAAATTTTTTGACGTAATTTAATATGCGAAATAATGACAGTTATGTATATATATAAAAGTATATAAGTATGTACATATTTTTAAACGTAAGTATACAAATAAATAATAAATAGAATATAATACGCATTTTTATAAACAAGGACGAAATTAATAATCGAAAATCAAAGTGAACTCGAGGAAAAATTAATTTTTTATCTGCTTGTCTTTTGAGTTCTCGGAAAAAGTGGATTAAATTTCATTACATTTAATTGCGTATTATTTAAGATTTTTTCACTCTTAGATTAGAAAGAAGTGAAAGCAAACATATTAATTTTCATTTTTTAATTATAATAAAAAGAACAAATTATGCCTACATATTTGAATCGGATTTGTATTAAATTATATTTGAATCTATAGTGTACGTTTATAGGAGTTGGGGTGTTATAAGGAAAATTTTAAATTTTTGTTGTGTAAATAAAATGTACATAGCGAATTGAAAGAAATCTGAGTATAATTAATCGTACTACTGTGGAATTACAGTATATAAATGTAGTTGCGGTGTAGATTTGGAATTGTAGATGCATCATGAGTGTCATGAACGTATTATTTCTCCGCACTCTCAATAAAATCTCCGAAGACCAATCATTTTTAATAAGCTTGATTAATTTGTAAGTTTCAACGGGAAATTACTTATGAATTATAAGTTATAAGAAACAACACAATTGTTTTAATCAAAATTTTAATTTGTTTTTCTAAAAAACATTTCCTAATATTTTTGGGTTTGAATGCATGCATTGCTTATCCAATATTTTATTTGAAATTCGATAACACACTTAACGTTTCTAATTCAAATAGATCACGCTTGACATTTATAATTTTTAGATGTTTCTCGAAATTCGCCCTATTTATACAGATTTGTTCTTCTCTACTGTAATTTTTCAATTGCATTTACTTTCATCATCTTTATATCGTAAAAATATGACTCTCAATATTAGAACTATTTCAATAACATTATTAAAGTTTAAATTCTTTAAAAATTATAAAAAATGTTTTAAAAAATTTAAAATTATTTAAGTTAAAAATAGAATAAATTCAATTACATACCGTATATACGTACATATTTATTTTGTATATGAATTTATCCTTTTGAAAAGAGGCATGTAATAAGCTTTCTTTATACGTTTGTGAATATTATTTAGAGACTCTTTTTTGAGTAAAATCCTTAATGAAGTGACTATGATGAACACCATGCTAGGTCTATAAATATATATCTATGCACATCTCTTATTAAATTATAAGAAACATATTATTCCACAGGTTGATTTTTTCTACCTACATATAATTAATCAAACCAGTATATGGATTATCCTTAAAATTAATTATTTTCGTTTGAGTGATTTTATGCTTAAAATAGCGTAAATTATTCTTATATTATAGCATAATATTATTTGCAAATTAGGTATCTTTCGCATAATATAATTAATTATAATTATATAAAGTGCGTAATTATATATAAATTATGTTTAATTAAGATATTAATAAAAAAAAAATACACAAAATTGCCTGAGGCTTAAAAAGTCCTTCAGAATCTCTTCTATTTTTAGAATTATGGAAAATTGTGCGAATTATCAATTTTTTTTTTTAATTATCACTCATAGACTAGAATAAGAATTGTAGTTATAGAAAGAAGAGATTTTATAAAATGAAATGAAAAAGAAATTTTATAAAATGTTTTACATATACATACATAGCTATAACATATATTTAAAGATCACTGCTAATTTAATTAAAGATTTTGAAATTCATGAATAAATAAATTATTTAAATTTACTGTATTACCACTAACACAAATTACTCATAAATATTCAAATTACTCAAATATTATTAAATTTTTATTATAATAAGTTATTAAAGATCCGAATACACCAATAGGGTTAAACAAAGGATAAATAATAAAACTTAATGGGGTTAAGAAAAGGAAAATAATAATTAGATTTTAATATTTACAGTTTTAATTGGGAAGATATTTATTTCTCACAATTTATCTCTCACTTTCACACAATTATTGAGATGAATTATTAAGAAAATTTAATGCTCTTTGGCTTTCGAACGTTTTCCATGCAAGGTTTATTTTATAATGATGGCGTGGTTTTTGATATTTTATAATATTTATCTTAATTTCAGAATTTGCTTATAATTTAACTATAGGACGTTTCATTTTTCTAATGACTGCCTTCATTTTTTTTAATATTATTAAAGATTTTCGAAAATTATAGTCTTCTACTTTATTACATTGAGAAACTAAATGTTATACATACATTGTTTAATGCTGTAATTTTAAATATGTCATGGAATAATTTTAATTTGAAAAAACAATTTTTGAATCCAATAACGTTCATAAAATTTTAGCGTTGTACTTACGAGTATTATATCCATCAATTAGGTTTCCGATTCTCTTTTTCTGAGAATTTTTGTTTTCTTGAACGGTTTTTCCAATATAAAAAAAGATTTAAATGGTTTATCTTAATATTTTATTCTCTCTTTCTTTTTGAATTCAAATAACCTGATCCTTTTAATTACGCTCGATTTGCATTTGTAATTTGTATAAAGTTTATCAGCTCAAAATATCCAATATAGTTAACCTTAAATGCTCGGATATTGTTATATTAACAGAGTTATATTTAAACTATTTGTCTTAAAATTTCTTGAAAAAGCTATTTGTGGGGAAGTTTATATCGTTATTCTGATGGTGTCATGAAGAAAATTATTTCTATAATTTCTAAAAAAAATAAACTGTTATACAGGTAGTTTAAGTGATTGCGGTAATTTACTGTAACAGAAGACAAAATATTTAATAAAATTTATACAAATTTATTATGTGAAAAAAGGATAGATTTACATAAGTTATTATCCTTTTTAAAAATGTCTAAATAAATCCTGCTTTATCCTTTATTTATTAAGTCAAGAACAGGAAAAAATAAATGAAAAGGGAAAAAATAATGTTAATTTTTATTATTTTTCCTTTTTTTTCTTCACATTTTCGTTAAATATCCTTAAATCGTCCTTTATATATAATTTTTGTTATTATTATTATTATTATTACTACATTTTTATTATATTTTATATAATAATATTATTTTTATTTTCATGAATCTTATTATATGTATACAGCGATGTGCCGAAATGGAACAAAAAACCTTCAAATAGCATACATTCGTGCCAGTAATAAATTTGATTTTATTTGTATATTTCTATCCTTATGGTTTGATGCTTTAGCTATATTAACGGCATGCTCAATACTAGCAAGAACTTTAAGTATATGCGTAGACACAATGACTGGAGGATTAGCTAGGATTTTAATATTAGGTAAATTAAAAAAAAAACAAGAAAAAAATATGTTTTCATAAAAATGCAGATAAAATTAAGTAAGTTAACAAAAATAAAAAAAAAGTAGAGCCACAATAGGTCATAAGTTGAATATTGTGTGTGAAGAAAATACAAGTACATAATGAAAATTATTAATAATCACGCAACAAGTTTACCGCAGCAGAGTAAAAATTAAAAAAAAATATGTATGAGAAAATAAGAGAATGACAAGAAAAAGAATTAATCTAAATAAAAATGTTAACTTTTAACTTTTTACATAACGGAATATTTTTCTCTTTGTGAATAATAGGTAGAAATTCACCTGTGAATGAACCATGGCCTGATGTATTAGGAGTAGGAGTGGTATTTCTAATAACTGGAATGTTTATGCTGGGATTAGAGGTAAATTATAGTTGGTTAAAATTTGCAAATAAAGTTTGTACGCTTAAATTTTCTTAAAAATATAAAAGGATTCTATTAGAATAATATTCGGATTGAGAACAATCAAATAAAACCTAAGAATTTATCTTTAGAGAATTGTTTTTTTCTTAAGCTGCAATCAGTACAATGAAACCATTTATTTTCATAATTATCACGATTAATGTCCCGCTGTAAATTTTGTGTGGGATTTATTGTACGAGTATTGCTATAACATTTTAATATTGATGCAAATATTTATACACATACATGTAAATCACCCTTAAATAAGATTACAAAATACAAAAATTTAATTATTTTATTACTCTAATTTTAGAATTTTCAAGTTTTCACGGATTTGATTTTAAAATTCAATCATATTTTCATATACTAGTTTTTATATTGCAATAATATCGTCAACAAACTAATGTAGTTAAGCACTCATAATTAAATTGAATTTTAATATTTAATTAATTTAATAATTTATAAAATTCAGAATTTAAATTCAGAATTATAAATTGCATAGTACCAAATTAAATATGAAATACGGAATTCAATTCAGCTTTAAAATGAGTTTCTGAACTGAATATAAAAACTGCATTATTGCATTATAAAACTCATGTACAGATTAATTAAAATTTTTGGAAACAGAATTTTTAATAACTATATTCTTCCGTTCATTATTCTGACCTGAAAAATCAAAACATTAAATGCAAAATGGCTGCAATTTTTTTAATAATTTTGCATATTTTCACAGTTCAAAATTCGAAGACTTAAAAGAAACACATAAAGTAATAATATGGGATGCTAATGTGGTAAACCTTTTCTCCGTTATTTAAAAATATTTTTAGAAATTTGAGCGAATATTGTAATTTCTATTCGTAAATTATCGTATTTATTACAAATTTAAAATTAATTTAATCAGGATTTTTCTCTTAATTGTAAAATATTTTCAAATTTTTTTTTATGTTGGATTGAAGAGTGTTTTCCTATAAGCCTTAAAATATGCTAAAAATTTTAATAGCATATTAAGAAAATTTATATTGAAAGCATTAAATTAAATTAAAATTAAAAGAAATTAATGAAAATAATTTGGCGATTAATGAAAAATAAAAATAAAAAAGGGTATAGAAAATCGATTTTTTTTCGAATTATAAAAGGATCATGAAAATAATGTTAAATTTAAAAACAAATTTGAAAATTGATTTTTTATATACATATTTAAAAATACATACATACCATACATATATATATATAAGTATTTAAATATATATTTAAACATAAGGTACAGGTAACATGAGATACACGTGTAAAGTCAAAATTAAGTGATAAAAATAATAAAACGAAAATTAATTTCCTAATGTCCTTGATTCTTTTTTTTTTATACTTTTAGAATTCAAAAGCTTTTAGTATTATAATGACAATTTCTATGCTCGGAATTAATGGTATTGTTAGTTGTGTCTCTTGGTATAATGGTGATTATAAGGAATGGGATAAAAATTATTTTCTTCCAAATGGATTGTATTCGGTAAGGAATTTGAATTTTTCATTTCACGTACCTTAAATAATAAGAAAAATTTCTCATTAATAATAATAAATGTGTTTGGTTATTTAAACAGTTATTAACAGCTTCTGCTATAAGTACATTCTCTTATCCAACTGAAATGCCTAATATACAAGGATGGAAACGATTATTAGGATTATTATTAATTTTATTAGTATGTGGTTCAACATTTTTAGCTGCAGGATGTTTATCAACTATCGTCCATTTAAAGTAAAAAATTATCCATTTACACTTAAATATATTTAATATTAATGGAAACTATATTGTTTGTAGGACTGCACATGAATATGTAGCCGTACCGCTTTTTTCAATTTTAGATGAAAATAATTTTAAAAAATTTATAGCTGCTGCTGCGTGCCTTTTATTGCTGACTTCATCAGCAGCATTTTTGGAATTATTTCCAGAATTATATCAATTAATTGTACGTTTTTCAACAACTGAATTTAAAATTTTATCAAGACAAATTAATTATGAAAGTCCAGACAGTGGCAATCCAATTTTAGCTATTTTTATTGCTGGTATGAAATTTTGAAAAAATTTACAATTTCGACAAGAAATACAATATTAAAAAAAAAAATTTTATTTTAAGGATCCCTTTGTGCAATTATGGCATTTGCAGCACCATTACAAAATTTAACACATATAATGGCAGCAAGTCATTTATTTTCTGGATTAATTAAAGCATTTTATTTGCTTTATTTTCCATTCCGTCCGAAATTCATGCAACATTCAGGTGAGTCAAAATTTTCTGAAAAAAACATTTTAAATTCCTCAAGTTTTTTGTCTTCCAGTTGAATCTTCCCTATCATATAGTAGATTACCAGCAGCAAATCAAAATTTACAGGGTCCATCTGGTCGTCGTAGTAATAATTGGAGACTCTCTGGACAAAAGTCAAATCGTAAAAATAAGAAAAAAATTAAAAATGATGTTGATAAAGAATGGTTATTACTTGGTGAACCATCTTCCCCATGTCAAATTCCTAGAGATCAAGATGATTTGGAATCTACAATATTATCAGATGCTGAACCTTCGGTAATATGATTTTTTTTATTAAAAAAATATGCTTCATCTATAATTTATATTTACACACTATGAAACTTTTAGCCAACTGATTTTGAATTTCCTGGGCGTGTTGATAATTCTGATTCAGATACATCGACTGATATTGATGCAATTGTTGATGAATATCGTGAAAAAGTTAAAGTAACAACAGCAGGTCCAATAGATCGTTCTAGTAGATTACCATCGATTGCTTCATGGCGTGTAACAATTTTTGCAATTATGTTAATTATATTTGGTATCGGACTCATACTATTTGGAATTCATTGTAATTTATTACCTGCTTATATAACTGGCCTAATTGGTTTGTATTAAAACTGCAATGTTACAATAAAAGAATTTATAAAATACAAAATAATTATTTTAATTTTAGGAATATTTTTGGTCAGTGTTGTAATGTCATTTATACCAAAGTATAATGGAAATATAATTAATGTTTCACCAATTATATGCTCAATTTCATTAACATTGGGATCAATTTTCTTGTCGTCATGTTTAATAGATTCCTGGCCTGCATTATTATTTTGGATTTTAGCTGGATTATGTTTAGTGTTACGTTGCGATACTTGGTGTTGTTCTTGTTTTGAAATACCAAGTTCTGATGATTATTTAATAGCTCAAAGAACTAGAAAAGCTGCAATACGTTTACCAAGGCCACCAAAAGGTATTGTTATACCGGGAAGGATTCCAAATCATCATCAAAATCGAAATCGGTGACATTTAGTATCATCTGAAAGTGATTTATTTGTTAATGGAGGTGGAGGGTCTAGCGAAGATTGGACTGAATAAAAATTTATATAATATAAATATAACAAAATATACATAAGACATACGTATGCATAGTATGTACACATTTGTATATAATTATTTTAAAATTTATAATGTTATATTTACCGGCTCATTTAATAAAATTTCTATATGTAAGATAAAGTTATTTGTATATAAGAAAAATCGAATTAATTGTATATGAATAACACATTTTGAAACCGATATATGAATCAATTAAAAATAATTTTCAATTATTTCGATATACAAAATTTTCCGGGAAAAATCTAAATTTATATTTTTATAAATAAAATAATTGCAATTTTTGAAATTAAAAGAAAAATATTTTGTAGGTGAAAAATGAATTTGTTTTTTGCCCAGTCGAGTAAAATTTTATCGAAATTCCAAATTTTTGAATATTCTCTTTAAAGTCGCAATTTTATGTCTGTTAAGGAAAGCTATAAATTTATGCAAACGGTATGAATAATTGTGTTAAATTAAAGTTTTTTCTATTTATAAATGAAATGTTTTAAAAATTTCGTAACAAAATTTTGATGCCATGTGATATTTAATCCTTCTATACACTTTTTTCTTATGTCACTTTTGTAATGTAAAAAAAATTTAATTTCTAAATGTAAAATGAAAATTTTCTCACATTTATTTTTTTTAATATTAAAGAAAGAAGAATTGATGCCAGACTAATAAAATAATTAAATTTGAAGTAATAATAGTCTGGACAGTTTGCAGGATTGGTTCAAATTTGTATGAAAATCCGAACATTTTAAATTATGATAAAAAAAGACAATATAAATAGGAGATATAGGGCTCTTACACAATCATTCTTAAAAATCACATTTAATTCTTTGAAATTTTATATTTTGGATCTGGCAGAAAGTTGTTTTTGTTATATTTGTCATTTTATTATACTAAGAATATGTGCATAATTTAATAATAATAAGAATAATTTTCATTTTAAATTATTTATTTATTTGTTAATAAAATAATATCTGTTATACAGTTTTTATATAATATTTTCAATTATCACATAGCTAAAATCTTTAAGAAATTTAACTAAAATAATATTGAAACAGAAAAATTCTAAATGTAAAATTTTACAAAAGCAATTCATTTTGTATAACAATATTGGTAACTTGCATAATAAAAAATTTCATATAAGTGCATGTCTTTCATATTTCTTATAATTAAAATTGTCGTATAACTTTTTACAATAAAATACTTTACATACTGTTATACTCTAAACTTATAATTGTTATACAAATATTTCGAATAATTAAAAATTGCATCTTAGCCATTTTGTAATTGAATTTCTATTTTAATTATGAAAAATAATTACTTTGGAGTCAAATTTACTTATAATTGTATGAAAATTTTTAATACATTAAAATTATAACGAAAGAAAAAGAAAATATATTTCGAATTTCAAATTACATAAATTAATTTCGAAAAAAAAATATTTTTAGTGAAAATTAAAAAACAATTATTATAAATTGTACTACATACTTATAAAATGTAAAAATTGCTAATTACAGAATATTTGAAAAAACTTTTATATATTAATAAAAAGAGAATTTTTAATATATTAGGAATGAAACTATTATACAGTATAACAAAATGTATTTGAAATTCAATTATAATAATGTAGAACATTTTTGATTCATAGCAGATGCGGCAAGAAAACTAACAACTTGACTTTATATCTATAATATACATACATACACACTTTATATTTATATGTATATTGTATATAAATATTTTATATAATATAAAATGTTATTCTAAATGTTAATTCACTTGTTGGCTAAATTCATATACTTATATTTAACATTTACAGCAATCTTTAAAGCAACTGAGTTACAAAAATTATTTTTTTTAGTTTCAGTTTTTTCTTGCGAAAAAAAAAAGTTTAATATTAAAAGAATTTTAAAAAATATAAAAGCAAAAATTTTTGAATCTAGTATTTGTAAAATTATAAAGTGATAAGAAAATGTAGATGAAATAAGAAATTTAATAATTTGTTATTTAAAATAAAAACATAATTTTCAAAAAAAAAAAAAGGAAAAAATCCTGTATTTAATAAAAAGACAAAAAAAAAACTAAAATTATTTTTACAAAATTGCTAAAATTTAACCAAAATTGTTTTATTTAACTCTTACTACATATAAAGATCGCCCAAATAATTATATTACCGATGACAGAAGACTGAGACAGTGAATGGCAAGAATCGTACTGATTTTGCTTGTATTTACATGCAACCTTTGAAAATTTATCGAATTCATATAACGTACAAATGGAAAAATAATACTCTCCACTTTAAAAAGAAAATATTAAGTATACTTTTGAAAAACATCATAAAATCTACAATATAGTTCGATGAATTTTTAAAATTTTGACAAAAATTATGTGGAAAAGCTTAAGACTTTATTATAACAAATTGTAAAAATATTAATTTTTTTGTTACTTAACTCCTATGTTCAATGTCTTCTATTAAGTTTCTAGCTATAAGAGTAATCACAGTTGAAAATATATCAAATTTAATGATCCGAGCAACTCGATTGTCGTCAAAATGTTAGTTAACCTCTTCACTTACCTCTTCAATTGTTTTTTGTTTGTTGTTCAATTGTGCTGTATGTTCTTATTCTTACACATCAGAAGTATAAAAATGAGGTGATCGTGGTTTAAAATTTTTAAGAAAATGATTTGTCAATGAGGAGGAAAGAATAATTTCCTCCTCAGCGACATAAAAAAACTGAAGAGAAAAGAATTATTTATATTACTTACCATCAAATTCAGACTTGTATAATTAACTCAGATTTAATTATAAATTTTGTCATGTTTGTAAATTAAACTTAAATTATTTTCAATCAATGAACTTTCATGAGTGGTCGTTTTAACATTTTAACTATTGAATACTTAATTATAAAACTTAACAATTTCGAAAAAAAAAAATTAGCATAATGGGGAGAGTACCTAATATGCAACATAGATATTAATTTTATCACCCTAACTTACCATCGGTTCCCGACTTTTCTTTTATTTTTTAAATGAATCCGAAAATTTATTAAAATACATGCTTTAATTTACAAAAATAAAATAAGTAATCATGTAGATTATAGTGCAAAGCAATGCGAAGAACAATTTGTCGACAATGTCAATTCCTAGAGCGTCCACCTAGAAAGCAGTAGGTCACTGGTTCGGGTCCAGTTCAAGGAACAAAATTTTTTTAATTAATTTTCTGCCTTTAACTTGCTCTACAGTTGTATGAAGATATTTCCATTAGTTATTCTTAGAATAAATAACAAATTATATAAAAAAAACATAGTTTAATACTTAATATAAGTATTTTATATAATAAAAATAAAATTGTTTATTTATAAAAACAATTACATATATTTTATATTGTACATATGTAACTTTCTGAATTAACCATTTCAGACTCAAATGTTTGATTAAAATTAATAGAGTTAAGATCGTATTAGTCATAGATTAGGCACTTAATCTATGTAATTTGTGACTATAGTTTACAGATGCAAACCATTACATTTTTAAAATTAATGTAAATTTACTTAAAAATTTGCTAAATTAAACAATTTAAAATATAAAAGAAAAACTTTCTTTTTACAGTTTATTACAAATATTTTTACTGTTAATCAATTATAATATTATAATTACACAAATGTGGAAAGTAAATTCACAATTTGAGTTTAAATTAATATACATATATATACAATACATTGCAATACGAAATTAGAAAATTTTCTATCCGGAATGCAATTTAAGAAAGAAATTAAGTGCAACATTAAAAAAACAAAGTATATTTGTTAAAATAATTTTCGTCATACATACAAGTATATTACAAAAATAACTCATGTTATACTAATTTGCATCGAAAGTGAAATTTCATAAAACCAAAAAAAAAAAAACACCTATCTTAAGACATCTTGGAAATATTATTTATGTATTTAGGTTTTCACATTTTAATAACACCTCCATCTTAAAATAAACAAATTTTTACTAATATGTTTAATTCACAATTTGTGTGTATATATACAGATTTAAACTAACAGTATTTGTTGGTAATCTCGGATTCTATGCAACATTTATAATTATTTTTAGTGTTAGATGTGCGTGCTATTCAATTTATCACATTTAATCGGTTTGATTTCCTGCGTGTATATGTACATATGTATGTTGAAACGACCCTAAAAATGTTCAAATCAATTTTGATGTTGTTTTTGTCTCCTGCGTTTTGTTTTTTCATTTAATTTTCTTTTTTCTTATTTTCAACCTACTAAACTATATATTTGTATAGGTTTGTATGTGTACTAAAAAAAAAAAAAAGGAAATTAAGAAAAAAGGTTTGTTTTATTTTCCATTTCTTTATACTTAAGCGCTATTGAGGTTTATAAAATTTTTGTTAATTATATTAAATGGTTAAAATGGTTTAAATATTTTAAATTTTCAAGTTTAGTTATGATTTTATATGATTTTTTTAAATTGTGGCACATTAATCTCTTCTTCTTTATTAAAATTGAAAGAAAATGTGAATTTCATTTAATTTTGATTTCATTTTGTTTGTCTGCTCGTTTGTGGTCTTTTTATGAGAATTTTTGTTTATAAAAACCGTCAGTTAAAAAAACTGTTCCTGGATTACATTTAAAGTACTTATTCAACTATAATTGACATTAATTAGTTGATTGCATTTAAAATTGCAATTTAGTAGTTTAGTTCAGCTATCATAATTGTAAATGACGAAAATTGGGTAAAATTCAATTTGTTGTGTAAAATTCTATTTTAAATTTCCAGAGTTATATTATTAATTTTCCATGTACATATGTAGGTATTCCGCATATTTAAATTACAGAATTTACATTATAATTTTAACATATCATTTTCTGACCAAATTTTAATTACATATTTTTATGAGAAAAATTGCAAATATCAAATCCTTTTTTTATATACTCAACTTGTTTTTTTTTTTCTACTGTAAATTCGAGTTATTAAAAATGTTTTGATGAGAAACGATTACCGGCATGTAATAGAATGACTGATAACATACATACGTAAATATATACACGAAACGTAGTTACTCTTGATCTCTTATAGCTCATATAATTCAATTTTATACTAACAACAACTTATGTTCTATTTGAATTATGAAAATTTGAATTTATTATAGAATTCAATAATAACTTTTATTAATTATTTATAGCCTGATCTACATGCATGATGCGAGCGACGGTATTTCAAAATTTTTGTAATGAGATTGTTTAATATAAATAGTTAAGGAATTTCCATTGAATATGTAGTATATTTCATTGGGTAATGTTTGTTTTTTTAAAAAAATTGAAAAAAAATGCTTCTGCTTTTAAAAATATGTTAGCAAAAAAACTGTTGATTCTTACTATTTTATTTCTATGTACAGAATTTTAATTGTCGTGCAAATATTAGCAATAAATTTAATATTGCGATGCAAGTTTTGTAACAGTATATTTTCTTAATCGTGACGTAAGTCTTCTGTCATCAATTTTTTTCTCCACAAAAAGTCAGAAATGAAATTTAACAAGGGAGATTTCTAAAACTTTTTTCTCATTTGTTTTTCGAAATAAAGAGCAATTTGGCTAATTTTTTTTTATAAAAAAAATTTTGCAAAATAACAAAATCCCAGACATATACTAAATATAGAGTATTTTTTAAAGTTCAAATGTGTTGCAAATTTTTATTGCAATAATTTGTGAGACACGCGTCTAGTGGTATTATTAAGTTTAAACAGAAAACGCTTTCCAATATAACACAGTTCTGTTATAATACAATCGCAGTTATAACACAATATAATAGAATGAGAGGTGCTGAACTTTAAAAGTATACCCCAATAACAAATCATTAAAGAAAATACAGAGTATATAAAATTTAGCAACTTGGATTCAAAACTTATAACCTATAGTTGTTGAACACAACTGCATTATTCTTAATAATAATTTAATAATGTTTTTTTTTTGCCTTATTATAACTTCATTTGTTAAGTTAGTGTTAACATAAAATACGTGATATACCATTTTATTTGTATACAGTAAAATCGCTGCATTACTTTTGTTGTTGTTTACACTAAAAATGTTGATAATAAAACAAGTTTATATAATAAAGAAATTTTCAAATGTTAAATTAAAATTTTGATTATATTTTTAATTATGAATTTGCTTTTTTTAATTTCTATATTGTTAAAATTAAATTAAAACCTTAACACTTAAATTATAAGTACAAAATGTAAAACATTACTTTTTGCATGTGCACATTTTGTTGTTATATAAAGTATTTAATTATGTGTGTGCTTTATATGAAGTGTAATTAAAATTATTATACTTGTTTTTTTAGTTTTTCTGGAACAAATTTTTGTTTTTACCCTTTTTTACTTTATCATTTTATATTATAACAATTTTAAGATGTCAGAAAAGTTCACGTTTTTATTGGCGTTATAATTTTATTATTTTGAAAATTTTTTGCACTCTTTCTTTTTTTATATGCATATGACATTGTTGATGATGAGATGGTGATGACAACTTTCGCTTATAAACGCATTATATATGTGGGAATCATGTAAAATAATAAAAATAAGTAAAATTTTTTTACAAGTTTCTTTTTATTTTAAAAAAAGGTCTATGTCAAAGTTCTAAAAATGTTCCACTTTCTAAGGTTTAGTTTTGTGTATACCTTGTTTTAATATGTATGCACTTTGGAAACTCATATATGTATGTATATAGAATTAAATAGCCTTAAAAATTTGAAATATATTAAATTAAAAAATGTTTAACAATTTGACATTGTATATGTGAAATTAAACCTAGTATAATTTTTATTGAAGATGAAGATTTTAAAATTTGAATAAATTAATTACGTGCGATTTTTATAACCTTTATCACGAGACAAATATTAAATTAACTTAAAAATTTGAATATTAATATATTTAGTACAATTGTAATTTTGTTTTACAGAAAAAATGAAAAGATGAGTGTAATTGCTCATTTCAATCACTTCTTCATACATATAGGTTGTTGTATTTTGGAATTTCATATACTATTGGAGTGCTTCATATGCTTTAAGAACGCCATCCATTATATTCTTTTATTTTAAAGAGTCTTAAATAAAAAATTATATTTGTGAGTCAATTAACAACTCGAAGTAGCTCTAGGACTATTTTTGTGCGTTAAAGAAAACTTAATTGAAAAAAATTCATTTGGAAAATATCAATAATAGTTTCGAAGCATTTCAAGCTCTTTTTTTGAAAAACTCAAGGGAACTATACGAGAACATAAACCCTACTTGAGGGACCACCTAGCCCTATTTTAAGAATAATTCATATATCTATATATTTATTGTTTTTATTTCAAACTCAAATTTTACAATCAACTATAACAATATTCTTAATTTTAATTCCTGTTTCCATTTATCGTAAAATTACTTTCTAATGTTATATAAAATTAAAATATTAATTTAACATTTTTATTTTATTTTCGAGTACTTGCGTACGCTTAAATATTTAAAGTGATTCGATTTTTATTTTTATTATTTTTTGTAATTTTACTAAAAGTTTTAGCACGAAATTATCTAATTTGTAACAATATTATTATGAAAAATAAGAAAAAAATTAGTAATGTTTATTAAAAAGTGAAATTTTTCCCTTCTTTACTTCCCTTTCACCATTTTAATTTTAGTATAATTTTTAAAGAAAATATTTTTATAAATAGCCTTGTTACAATTTTATTTACCTTGTATAGCGAAAAGCTAAAAAGTCACATAACATTTTTCTTAAAAATTTTATTGATTTGTAAACTTCTTAATTGGTACACCAACATAATTTTCATTTTACTCTTATATTGATAGCTAATTCGTGCTTAAATTTTTACTTTGCGTTATTTCTTAATTTTCTTTTTGAATTTTTACAAATTTTTACTCGTTCTTTAATATTAACACTAATGTATATTTAGACTCTAATTTTCTGTCTCCTACAGTAGCTTACATTATTATTTAGTATTAAATTTTGTTTGTTTTTATAATTAATTCTTTTAGTTTTTTTCTATTTTTTTATTTTCTTTTTTTTTATCATGAACTTCTTCTTCCATTTCGATTTCTATTTTCTAGCTCTTATTAAATTCTTTCATGAAATTTAAAACATTTTCTCACTCCTATATATTTACAAAAAATTTTTTTTTTAGTTTTAACACGGTGGAAATGGATTAATCAACTACTATGATTTTATGCATACAGGTGGTTAAGTGAATTTTTGTGAATGACCATAACATAATCATATTCTTCCGCCATAATTTTAAGTTAAAATGTTTATACATAAAAAGTTAATAACAAAAATAAAAACAAAAATATATATATGTGTAAGTATATGTGCGTGCACTATATAACTCTTGTGTGTATGTGATAAGAGAGTTTTGTTAAAATTATAACGACAAAATTAAAATATTTTTATTGTACGCGACGGCACACCGAATAGTCAATACGTATCGATCCGTTGAGCTGTAAACGTTAAATAAATAAAGTTAAAAAGAGCAAAAAAAAAAAATTTAAAATTATTTTTAATACGCGAATTTATTTAATAATATTTTCGAATTCGAATTTTGTTTTTTAAATTTTATATTATAAGAAAAGGAAGAATTAAAATTTCGAAGAAAAAAATTTTGAAGGATGAAAAGTTAGTGAATGCGAACGGAATTTATTGTGCCTTTAGTTTTTTTTTTATTTTCCGGGATAATTCAATTAAAATTTGTGTATTATGAGAATTTTTATTTGGTTTTTATTAATTAAAGCGTTGTTTTGTTTTTCAGAAGGTGAGAATTTTAGTGTAGCAATTTTTATTAATAGGTCCAGGAAATAAAAAAAAATAAGACTTAAAGATTTTTTGAAACATATGGAATGAAAATGTGAAAAGCAAATAATTTATAAATTAATAAAAGTTTTGAAATTTGAAGCAAAATAATTTAAATTAGAATTTAAAGTTGTTATTTTGACAATTAAGTAAATAAAATTTTATAAAATTTGATTTTGAAAATTATCGCAAAATTAGTGTTTTCGTTTTCAAATCTTTACATTAAAAAATAATCAAAGAACTGAAAATTTATTGAAAAGTTTTTAATTAAAAATTGAACACATATTTCGAAAATAAAAAAAAAAACTATTGAATTTTCGATAATCGAAAAAAAGACTAGATAGATTTTGTGATTTTAATTGAAAATTAAATTTAAATTGAAATTTTACAATAAAATTTAGAAATATAATTTATAATAGATATTTTTAAAATAAGTATTTCACTTGAAGAAATTGTATAATTCGAGAAATTCGTAACAGTTTTCGCCTTGATTTTAGTGTTGAAAATGTATAACAGAATAGCTTAATTTTAACAGTACTATATAACAAAATAAAAATACTTGGGGTATTACAATATTGAAATTTAAATTTTTTTTTTGAAATTCAAAGTGAAATTTAATTTTAAGGTTTTTAATTTAAGAGTAATCTTCGGTTAAAACCGTAACTTTTGATTCATTATGTTATTCATTATAACATCGATAATCGGAAAAAATTAATTAGATCGATTACTGTAAAAATCATTTTGCTGCTTGAATTGATTGATTACAAGGGAACTTAAAAACAAAGGCAAAATTAATACCCACATTTCCCATAAAGTTTATTAAAAATTATTTTTGTATATTAAAAATTTTCTAAAATTATTGCAGAATAAAAATGTGCCACTATTAAAAAATTGATTTTCAAAATTTTGTGTATTGAAATGCGTACAAGCACATTGTCAAAGCACATATAGTATTCAAGCGTATCAAAATCTAATTTATACTTCCAGATCATTGGAATCTGAATACAATTACAGATTATAATTTATCATAAATTTTCGATATAATTTTTAACTGTGTTTTCAAACACAATATCAATAAAAAATCGAATTTAATTTCATAAATTCATGCCAAATATTAAAATTTAGAGTTTGCATGTAGTTGTTCATAAATATTATTGAAACTATCAAATAACTTTCCCCTATCAAAAAAAAGGTGCTAAATTTAATGTTAATTTAATAACCAAACATTTCAATATTGCGTTGATACCTTACTGATGAACCAAAAAGAAAAATGAATTATTGTCAAAGATACACTCAATTTTTACTTTTTGAAGAGAAATATTGAAAACAACTATGTAATTCGGAAAAATATATATATATGAAAATAGTTTTAAAAAAATTTTTAAAAGTCAATACATTTGAAAATGAGAATTTTGATTTTAAATTATAAAATTATTAAATTATAATATTTAAATAGGGAAAATAGTTAATTTAATAGTTTCCAACTTATAAAATATAAATTTAATTTATAATCATTGAATTTCATAAATATTTATTGTATGTATTTTTTTAGGAAAACCATGTCCTGAAAAATATAGACCACACAAGACTCGTTGTGATTCATATTATAAGTGTGTTATTTTACCATCAAAATCACATGTTTGGATGCCTGCAAAATGTGAACGTGGATTAATATTTGAACCAAATTTAAAACTTTGTGTATTACCAGGCGATGATTGGGAATGTAATGCAGGAGAGAATACATCGACTGGTATTACATTAGACGATAACAATATTTATGGAATTGATTTATTAAAAATAACTCCTGATGCTCCAACAAAGTCAATAAATTTAAAACCTAAAATTAATGAGCAAACAGTAAAATTAATGGAATTTATAGAGCTCAATAATGATTCACAAATGAAAACCGATGAAGATGAAAATGTATTTGTACCAGCAAATTTAGATAAAAATGAAATTGTTGAAGATCAAATTGAATCAAGTGGAGATGGTCCAGTAGAAGTTTCATCAAAGGAACATGATAGTTCAAAACTTCGTGAAAATTTCGATGAATTACCAGAAACATTATCAAAAGTTGATCCAAAATTAAAGTCTCAATTGCAAAGACTTTCACAAATAATTGATGGATTACAAAATACTTACAAAAATAAGAAAAATTCCACTTCAAATGAATTAAGACCAGATCAGTTAAATGCATTTTTAGCTCATTTCAATATAAAAAATGAATTTGATTCTTTTAATCCAAATAATGACGATTTTAAAATAGAGGCTAATAAACAAGATGATTCAAAATTTAATCAAATTAATAATAAAATTTTTAAGAATAATATTACTGATGATTTGAAAAAATCTACAACCGATTCAGGAACTAAAATTGTAAATTTGAATCCTGAAACAAAAGTTATTTTAAAGAATTTTGGATACCGAAGACAAGATTATAATAATGATGAAAGTAGTAGTGGTCATTCGAATTCTCAGATAGTTGTTAATAGACCTGAAGGTTCTGTTGTATTTTCTTTGGCAAATCCACAGAAACCATATCAGGAACAAAAATATAATGATGTCAATAAACATGATCCGTTCGATTACAATACTGTACCTAAAATATCCGAAGAAACATTAAAAACTGTACTTGAATTATCAAAACAAATGATATCAAATCAAAATGTCCGACAAGTTTTACCGAATATGGGTGGAATTTATCAACCAATTTTAACGCCACTATATTATCCCCCAATGCCATCCCATTCGTATCATTTTCATACTACTGGCGGATCTCCTGATATTAAATACCCAAACTACCATTCAAATATTCAGAACCATTATCATGAATTACCCGAAAAAGACGATGAAAAATATGACAAATTTACTTCAACAGCTTATATAACAAATAATAAAAAACACAAACCTGAAAAAACTACAGTAATTCAAAATAGTGTTATACCGGTTCACATAACTACCCATTCTGACAAGGGTAAGTTTCATTTAATCTGATATTAATTTAAATTCTTGAAAGTATGTATGTATTTATTCTTGTACTAATTTTTTTTCAGGAATTATTAAACGTCCAGAAATATCATCATTCTCAGGTAACCGGCATGACAGTATTGCAGATGAAAATGATTTCAATCAAATTCCGGAATTACCAACAAATTTAAATAATCAGTATTTAAGTCCATCTAAAAGTATTCTTAATCCAAATTTCGCAATATCTTCAACATCTACATCAGCTCCAATGACTACAGCTACCACAACAGAACGTCCATACCAATACCCTCCTTCGCCTCCAACAAATCATATGTCATTTTTGAATTATTATACACCAAATCCACATTTAGACGATTCAAATGCTAATAGTATATTTGAAAATGCTGATGAAGGCCATTATCCAATTTTATCAGGACAATATCAACAGTTACCTCCTAATTTGAATTTTCAATATCAACAATCACCAATTAAACAAAATCCAAATCAATTTGAAAATCATATAAAACAAACGCCAAATTTTTCTATTAGTAATAAAAAGCCTTCGTACTATTATCAAACAAATATTAAAGTTCCGTCATCACAATCTCAATCAAATCAAAATATTCAAATACAACCGCAACAGCCACAGTATTTGTTAAATATGGGAATGAATAGTATAGGAAATAGTATAAACGCAAACATAAATGAAGGTATGGAACAAATGAATGAATATGAAAGCAATTCATCACCACTATCATCATTAAATTATCATATGGGTAATAGTTTATCAAATGATTTAAATAAACAAAAGTATTCAAGCGTATCAAAATCTAATTTATACTTCCAGATCATTGGAATCTGAATACAATTACAGATTATAATTTATCATAAATTTTCGATATAATTTTTAACTGTGTTTTCAAACACAATATCAATAAAAAATCGAATTTAATTTCATAAATTCATGCCAAATATTAAAATTTAGAGTTTGCATGTAGTTGTTCATAAATATTATTGAAACTATCAAATAACTTTCCCCTATCAAAAAAAAGGTGCTAAATTTAATGTTAATTTAATAACCAAACATTTCAATATTGCGTTGATACCTTACTGATGAACCAAAAAGAAAAATGAATTATTGTCAAAGATACACTCAATTTTTACTTTTTGAAGAGAAATATTGAAAACAACTATGTAATTCGGAAAAATATATATATATGAAAATAGTTTTAAAAAAATTTTTAAAAGTCAATACATTTGAAAATGAGAATTTTGATTTTAAATTATAAAATTATTAAATTATAATATTTAAATAGGGAAAATAGTTAATTTAATAGTTTCCAACTTATAAAATATAAATTTAATTTATAATCATTGAATTTCATAAATATTTATTGTATGTATTTTTTTAGGAAAACCATGTCCTGAAAAATATAGACCACACAAGACTCGTTGTGATTCATATTATAAGTGTGTTATTTTACCATCAAAATCACATGTTTGGATGCCTGCAAAATGTGAACGTGGATTAATATTTGAACCAAATTTAAAACTTTGTGTATTACCAGGCGATGATTGGGAATGTAATGCAGGAGAGAATACATCGACTGGTATTACATTAGACGATAACAATATTTATGGAATTGATTTATTAAAAATAACTCCTGATGCTCCAACAAAGTCAATAAATTTAAAACCTAAAATTAATGAGCAAACAGTAAAATTAATGGAATTTATAGAGCTCAATAATGATTCACAAATGAAAACCGATGAAGATGAAAATGTATTTGTACCAGCAAATTTAGATAAAAATGAAATTGTTGAAGATCAAATTGAATCAAGTGGAGATGGTCCAGTAGAAGTTTCATCAAAGGAACATGATAGTTCAAAACTTCGTGAAAATTTCGATGAATTACCAGAAACATTATCAAAAGTTGATCCAAAATTAAAGTCTCAATTGCAAAGACTTTCACAAATAATTGATGGATTACAAAATACTTACAAAAATAAGAAAAATTCCACTTCAAATGAATTAAGACCAGATCAGTTAAATGCATTTTTAGCTCATTTCAATATAAAAAATGAATTTGATTCTTTTAATCCAAATAATGACGATTTTAAAATAGAGGCTAATAAACAAGATGATTCAAAATTTAATCAAATTAATAATAAAATTTTTAAGAATAATATTACTGATGATTTGAAAAAATCTACAACCGATTCAGGAACTAAAATTGTAAATTTGAATCCTGAAACAAAAGTTATTTTAAAGAATTTTGGATACCGAAGACAAGATTATAATAATGATGAAAGTAGTAGTGGTCATTCGAATTCTCAGATAGTTGTTAATAGACCTGAAGGTTCTGTTGTATTTTCTTTGGCAAATCCACAGAAACCATATCAGGAACAAAAATATAATGATGTCAATAAACATGATCCGTTCGATTACAATACTGTACCTAAAATATCCGAAGAAACATTAAAAACTGTACTTGAATTATCAAAACAAATGATATCAAATCAAAATGTCCGACAAGTTTTACCGAATATGGGTGGAATTTATCAACCAATTTTAACGCCACTATATTATCCCCCAATGCCATCCCATTCGTATCATTTTCATACTACTGGCGGATCTCCTGATATTAAATACCCAAACTACCATTCAAATATTCAGAACCATTATCATGAATTACCCGAAAAAGACGATGAAAAATATGACAAATTTACTTCAACAGCTTATATAACAAATAATAAAAAACACAAACCTGAAAAAACTACAGTAATTCAAAATAGTGTTATACCGGTTCACATAACTACCCATTCTGACAAGGGTAAGTTTCATTTAATCTGATATTAATTTAAATTCTTGAAAGTATGTATGTATTTATTCTTGTACTAATTTTTTTTCAGGAATTATTAAACGTCCAGAAATATCATCATTCTCAGGTAACCGGCATGACAGTATTGCAGATGAAAATGATTTCAATCAAATTCCGGAATTACCAACAAATTTAAATAATCAGTATTTAAGTCCATCTAAAAGTATTCTTAATCCAAATTTCGCAATATCTTCAACATCTACATCAGCTCCAATGACTACAGCTACCACAACAGAACGTCCATACCAATACCCTCCTTCGCCTCCAACAAATCATATGTCATTTTTGAATTATTATACACCAAATCCACATTTAGACGATTCAAATGCTAATAGTATATTTGAAAATGCTGATGAAGGCCATTATCCAATTTTATCAGGACAATATCAACAGTTACCTCCTAATTTGAATTTTCAATATCAACAATCACCAATTAAACAAAATCCAAATCAATTTGAAAATCATATAAAACAAACGCCAAATTTTTCTATTAGTAATAAAAAGCCTTCGTACTATTATCAAACAAATATTAAAGTTCCGTCATCACAATCTCAATCAAATCAAAATATTCAAATACAACCGCAACAGCCACAGTATTTGTTAAATATGGGAATGAATAGTATAGGAAATAGTATAAACGCAAACATAAATGAAGGTATGGAACAAATGAATGAATATGAAAGCAATTCATCACCACTATCATCATTAAATTATCATATGGGTAATAGTTTATCAAATGATTTAAATAAACAAAAGTATACACAATTCGTTACTAATCAATTAACACATCAAACAAATCTGGATCAACAATATTCATATTTAAATGAGAACCATAATTTGCATTCTGCATTATCAACTGGATCATCATCATCATTACCATCATCGTCTTCAGCTTCGACTACAACTTTAACAAATATTTTACCTCATAATAATAATTACCACAACAACGGAATTAATTCTGTTGGTCCGAATGCTTTAGTCAATTTAGGTGGAAATTATATTAGTTATGATATTTATAAAAATAAATTGCTTCCCGCTTTAGAATCTGCTGCAGGATTAAATACAAATAATAATAACAACAATAATAATGGAATGATAAATAATAATCAATTAATTCAACCAAATGTTGAAATTGTAACATGTACAGCTGGTATAAGGCAACCAAATTCAACAGATTGTACAAAATATTTTGTTTGTAGTAGAAAAGATTCTAAAGTTTTGTCGTATTCATGCCCTCCCTATACAGCTTTTAATTCACAAACTCGAATATGTGATGCTAAAACTTATGCAATTTGTAATCCAGAAATTTTATTTAATAAATTTACAATTCAAGAAAATCAAAAACTAAAATTCGATGCAATTAAAGCCCTTCAAGACGCTAAAAAAATTAGAGATGAAGCAATCAAAGCACAAACATTAGCAAATTTAATACGATTACAAACGGAACAAACTTTAAATCAGACAATGCATACACCTATTTCTAATCCAACTAATTTCTTAAATCCAACAATATTTTCAGATTTTCTAAGTTCATATACTTCAGTTGAAACACCAATAAGTGGTCTGGATGGTATGGATAATGGTATTATGACATCTACAATTACTAGTACATCTTCTACAACGACAATAAAACCAATTCTCAGTTTATTGCATCATAAACACAAAAAACGAAAATATTATTGTAGAGAAGGTGATAAGATTCCAGATCAAACTTCAAATTCAAATTATTTTATATGTTATAAAACAAAAGATGGTGCAATGCATGGTCATAAAATGATTTGTTCATTGGGTCTAATATTCTGTCCGAAAACTAAATTATGTACGACAGCAAGACTTTGTGAAAATTGATTTTAAAATTATTTGATTTTTTAATCCGACACCATTGATTATAAAAATGTTATGAATTTTTTCCCCAAAAATTTTTTGATTGAAAACGAAATTCTTGCCAAAATATAACACTAATGAAAAACTTTCGAAGAAAAAAAAATTTTTTTTGTTTGCTTCTAAAAAAATTCGATTTAAGAAACAAAAAAGACTGTCAAACTAGGTTGATATTTGAAAAAACAAAAAAAAAAAATATTAATTATAAAGTTCTTGACGTGAACTTGTACCAATTACTAACAAGCAGATTTATGAAAATTGCAAAAAAAAAAGTGTATTTAATTTTGTTTGTAAATAGCGTAGGCATCGAATACGCATTAGATGAACTAAGTGTTGAAATTGAATGAATGGGCATTAGAATTGAGATTTGCTATTGGGACAGTTAATGGTACATTTTTAGATCAGCAATGGCATTATTAACAAAAAATAAATTGTGCTATTTTTCGATTGCCTGTTCCCGGTTATTAATTTTAAGCAGTCCAACAAATTTGAAGAAGAATTTGTATAAGTTAAAATAAATAACTAGTACATTTCCATATTTTTAGCGAACCCAATTCACTTCAACTTCAATGCAGTAAAGAAAATTTAAATTTACATTCAGGTTCAGATAATTTTTAAATATTTGGTAATATAAGATATTAACTGAAGAAATCAATGCATTCAATTTATCTTCCAATCAATAATCAACCTAGTCAAAACTTTAGAAATTAAAAAAAAATTAAACAGGAAGGGTAAGGTTATTTGCTTTTCTCGTAAATTTTCCCAAATGTTTTTTAAAACTAAATTTGAAGCATCATAGCACTTTACTCTTTCGTCGCAAAATTTATGTAAAATCGAAAATCAATTCAGTGGACGCAGTTTTTTTGTAATTTATTTATTTAATTTGTATATTTTGTTAGCTTAATTGAAATTATTTTAATTATTTATTTTTTTTTATTTTAATATTTTAAATTAATAACTTGAAACAATAATAAAATGTTCATTATTAATACAAAAAAAAAAACATTTTCTTTTTTGAATTCTCGCTAATTTAAACTATGTTAACCATAGTTATCATTAAATAAAAAAAATTGCAAAAAAATGGGCATATTGCTCGGCAATGCCACATTAATGGAAGTGTTCATCAATGAGTTTTAACGAAAATCCGAAGCTAAGCTAGTTACTTAACCTACAAATTTTGAAACAGTTTTGACAGACTGGGAACAGTTATAGGCCTCTACGATAAAGAGCCAATTGAAATTCGGAAGAATTCAATCGGATTTATCACCGTGCGTATTGACGAAAGGTCATTGCAGCGGGAGTCCCATATACTCAGTTCCACTATATTAAAATGGATCTGCCAGAAAATTGAGGAAATTTATTGAGTGTGACGGAAAGCCACTGAGCAGATCTGCGACCAAACACAGATAGATCATAAGGTCTCCGTATTTAAGCGATCAGTCAGATTGCCATCACAATCAGAAGAAATACACTTCCAAAATAATAAATAAATTTTTTTCTATTTATATTAAATCTTATAATATTTAGTATCTGTGAGTTTTATCATCAATTAAAATTTTTATTATAACTAGTAAAATCTAGATGTCGCAATCATTTATAATTGTTAAATTTGAAGATTCTAACAACTAGATGTCGCAGAAAAATGAAATAAAAAATATTTTTTAATTTGACAAATCAAATCCTTCAAATTGGTTTCATTTAATTTTTGGCATTTCAATTGCATTGCAGCAGTAAATTTATTTTATTTAAATTTTTAGTTTTTATTTTGTGTACAAGAAGAGCAAAATAATAGAAACTAATTTATTTTAATATTAATTTTGATAAATAGTTAACCGAAATGAGCTCTGGCGAAGGAGATTCAAGTAAAGAAAAAGGTGAATAATTTTTGCAAATAATTTTTCAATTCGGTTCTTGTTAATTGAATCTAGTATTAAATCTCAAAGCTCAGAAGTTCTAAGAAATTGCTAATTGTGTTTCGAGATAGAAATATTTCAGAAAAACGCGGTTTTTAATTTAAATATTGGACTTGTAACCAATAATAATTGGTTACAAGCAAACATTTTCGGAAATAATAATTGCTTTTAATATGCCTGCACTTACAATATCCGAATATGCGAAAAGAAATGTGTCTACTTTTTTCGTGTGCCTTCTTGGGAGAAATAATTATACTTCTTCATTACTTCCTTATATTTTTTATGAGTCATATAACTTACTGAAATTCTTGTGAATAAATTAATATGTATATTTTGATGTTTTTAGATGTGTTGCCAACTGAGGACAATCAAAACAAACCTCAAGATGAAGGTAGTGGAGATGGGCCCACAATAAATATTGACCCTGAATGTTTAGAGTTAGATTTAAATCATGAAAGGATTGGAAAGTTGGAGAATTTGGAGCCTTTAATTAAAATAGAAAGGTTTGCTCAAACTATTTTGATTACTTTACCTAATAGAGGCTAATAAACAAAACCGGTATAGGTGCCTTATTTGCCTTATATGAATAATTTTAAGTTCTTTTTCCTTTTTCGATACATAGTTTTTTTTAATAGGGTTTGTAGAATTTTTTTTTTAATATTTTTACGCCGTAGATCATTTTGCTTATTAATTAGGAAACTATATAATTGATATTTTAAATTCTAGGCTTTATTTGAGGTGGAATTTGATAAAAAAAATTGAAAACCTTGAAACATTGGTAACTTTGAAAGAGATTGAGTTTCATGACAATCAAATAACCAAAATTGAGAATTTGGAAACATTAGTTAACCTGGAGTAAACCTATTACTAATCTCTAGTAACCTGGAGTTTTTATTTTCAATTATTTAACAATTTTAGGATATTGGATTTAAGTTTCAACAGACTTACTAAAATAGAAAATTTGGACACGTTGGTATTATTAGAAAGACTTTTTTTGTGTGGTAACAAAATTTCCAAAATAGAAAACTTGTCTCCATTTAACAATCTTGTTATGTTGGAACTTGGTGATAACAAAATTCGAGTAAATGTTTTTTTTTTTTGTAAAATTTTGAAAACATATTTAGACTTTTAAAAAAATTCTAGAAAATTGAAAACCTGGAAACTTTGACTAATTTGAGGCAATTGTACTTAGGTAAAAATAAAATACCAAAAATTGAAAACTTGGATACACTTGTAAATTTGGAGTGTTTAAGCCTTCAAAGTAACAGAATTACCAAAATAGAAAATTTGGACAAGTTAAAAAAATTGAATGAACTTTACATATCCGAAAATGGAATCGAAAAAATCGAAAATTTAGAAGAAAATACCGAAATTGAAACATTGGATTTGGCGAAAAATCGATTAAAATCCATAGATAATATTACACATTTACATAATTTGGAGGAACTTTGGGTAAATTATAGTTTCGTTTTGCATTTTATATTTTGAGAAATAAATAAATTTATTAATATATCCGTTATAGCTAAATGATAATGAAATTCATGACTGGAAAAATATTGAAATTCTGCAAAGTAACAAAAATTTGGCAACTGTATATCTTGAGAGAAACCCAGTGGCTTCTGAAGTATTGTATAGGAAAAAATTGAAACTGGCGGTCCCTTGGTTGAAAAAAATTGATGCAACTTTGTGTCAATCATAAATTAAAATTCTTTGCAACTATTGTTACTTTATTTAAAGTTCTTATATTGTATGTACATATAAGGTTTAAGTTGCACTTTATAAAAAATTTTAAGATTTGAAAACATTTAATTATATTTTTTTTTATGTTAAATCAGTTTGTGTACATTAAAACACTTATCTTTAGATTTTATTAATATCATTTTCTGTATTAGAAAAATAAGTAAAACCATAATTGTTTAACAATAAATTAAGGGTGTTTATTTATAATGAAACCTAAAATTATTGAAGAAACTATTCCAGAACCTTAAATTATGGTTGAACTAAATACATATATTTTTTACAAACATAGAAAGAAAACTGGATAACAAAAATTAAAAATTACGAAAACTTATAGCCCATAGGCAATGATTTTCATAAGGATTTTCAAAATAGAAATTAAAAATCCTGATTTCAATAATGTTTTCCTACAATTGCCTTGTTTTAATAGCTATTTTTATATAGTCAAAAATTAGATATATACATGATACGAATATAGTAAAAACATTAAACTGATATTTTCTTGCAAGAAAATTACCTTAATTTTTCTAAATACTTTTATTACACGGCTATATACTTACATTTATCTGTCTAATATATTTTTAATTTTTGCAAAATACAATGTAATGCATCCAATCCAATATTAACAAAAATGATATTCAAAAAAATAAATTATCTAATTTGAAAATAAAATTTCTCTATATTAGTTTAATTTTTAAAATTTGTATCAATGTCAGCTTTGTTTTGATGATGTACGGAATTAACTTCTCTATATGATCCACCTATTTGGCTTAAAAGATCTAATTCGACATTCTTAAGTGCATTGTTATATTCGGTTATTTCTAAAACTTCCCATTCTGCTTTAAACGCAGCTTTTGGGTCTGGGGGCATTGCCATGGCTGCCCCAGACATTTGATCTTGCATTGCTTGCGTTTGGTCAGCAGCGTTATTTTCTCCAAGCACAAGGGTATAAATACTTCGCAAACCGAAAACATTCAAAAAATACCAAGAAGCTGAAGACACCCATGCGGCATCCAAGGACGCTAATTCAACTCCACGTTGTAACATTGGTTTAAAACGCAATGTTAGTGGAAAAGGAACTTTCGTTGTAACAAATCCTATAAAAATTCCAATGTATTATATTTTTCAATATCATAGAAAAACACAGACGGTACAAACCTGAAAACATCCAATTGATCCAACCACCGATTATTACCATTGGCAAAACATTAATAAAATTTCCTTTTACTAAATCAGATAACATTGCAGTTGAGTTCGGACTAACTGGTGGTCGTTTTTGGGTCTTAAAGTAACCCACCTCTTCATTATTAAAAAAATGTTTCCGCATTGCAAAGGAATGTGCTGTTAAATATTTTCCATTCTCCCGTAATAGACGAGCTCTAATCATAGCTTGACTAAAAATATAATAAAATACGTTACAATATTTTTCAGTGCAAAATGTTTTAGATGGATTTTCACCTATCTTGAATTTGGGTTAGCTCTGCCTTTTTTTGTGTAGAGATTAAAATTGACACATAATGCCTTACTATTCCTACTAAAAATGTTATTATAACAATGGGTAAAAATACCCAGACCCTTATATTTGGGTCTATTACTAGTTCAATCATATTTAAAAATTTTAAATGCAATATAACAAAATCACAATTTAATAATCATTTACCAATTTAATTTACTATGCAAAATACTAAAGTTTTTCTTCCAATATGCGAGCATGACATATGTATACCAAAATTTGACATGAAACTGTCATTCTTATTTCACCACACTCATAATCGATATATTAGTTTGCTATTATTATATCGATTATCAGTAAAAATTATTCATGAAGCGGTTCATTCATCAAATTATGGATGATTATGTTTTACACCGCCACCATAGTTTTTCTGAATTGGTCCGTAAAGTGTAAATTTTATAATTTTTTGTTACTCTAAATCCTTAATAAACTCGAATTAGGTTTAAAAACGCAAAACAGATAAAAAATGGATACGTTATTAAAAAGAATATGTTCAGGGGAAGCATAAAAGAGACGTTAAATATTACAATTACTTTTTCAATTAAGTTGCTGATGTAAATTCCTTTTTTAATTTAACTTATTATTTTTAAAAATGATATATTTTTCTTCGAAAATGTTTGATTGGACAAATATTTTCCTATTATAACCAAATATGATTATATGCAGTAGACGTTAATTGCAATAACCTGAATAAATAAAATAAAAGCTTCTAATGAAGTTTTCTCCAAAAGAAATGTCTATAAATTGTCGTAAGTACTCAAAATTACACATTCACATCATAGAGTTGTATTTGTATAATACCCGCACCGCAGTATAAGCTAATTTTGTACAAATTTTGTATCGACTGTGTCGAAATGTGTAAAGTCACCCAACAAACTTAAATTGAAACAGATGTTTTTAGTTTCTAAATGTCATTCCAGTTAACTCTTTATATTTGAGGCATTTTGTTGGTTGTGTTGTTTTGTTTAGTTTTTGTAAACTTTTAAATCAAAGTACAAAGTTAAATTTAAAAATTATAAAATATATAAAAAAAAACTAAAACTTATCATAAACGTCGATAAATATAGAAATATCAAAACGTTAATATCATCTAAACATTAGTCTTACTAAAATTTTCTAAATATTTTGTGTATCCATAAAATTATTTCGTAGGTATTCATTTTGATGTTAGAATAGAGAAAATAAATGAAATTTTTCTTTTCAATATTTGTTACAATTTATGTTAATATATTTATTTCTTATAAACATAATTGAATATAACATGAAAAATTGAAAATTTTAGGAAATAATGGATGCTAAAGAACAAAAAGCAGCACGATCAGATCTTACTACTTTACCTACCCGGCAATACTTGGACCAAACTGTTGCACCAATTTTGCTGCAAGGACTACAAATTCTTGCAAGGGAAAGACCTCCCAATCCGGTGGAATATTTGGCAAATTATTTAATGAAAAATAGGGGACGATGCGATGAACCTCAGCCCACCGTATCGGTCCCAGAATCTTAATTAGTTTATAATTGATAATATTGTTAAATTCTTTTTCGTAAATGCTATACAAATATCGAATCAGAAATATTCATTTCTAAGCCGTACATAATATATTATTAACCATATATAGAAATGATTTTCCTAATATTAAGGCTTAAATTAATTAGTATTTATTGACAAATATTGATTTACTTTGAAACAAAAAATTCGAAATACATTTATTAGTCATTAGTGGAAAAAAAAAGTTAAAAAAAAATAATGTTGAAAATTAGTAAGTATATTATTTAAAATTTAAGAAAAAATAAAGTAATATCAAAATTTAAGAGGTAAATTTTTAAAAAAATCCTATAATAAATATAAATAAATATATCATAAAATATTAATTTTTGATCTATTAAAATAAATTTTTAAGACGTAATATCACGCCAATAAAACTAAAAATAAAGTTTACATGGGTCAGGTGTTGTGGAAAATTTGTTCTGATTATTTATACATAATAGATACTGATTGATGTAATAATAAAAGTTGAGAATAATAAAATTTAATTAAATTAAATTTTTAAAAATTGTTTTAATACATATGTTTGTAAATAGGTTAAGATATTTATATTTTACATAACACATTTGTCCACTTACATGGTTTACAAAATATCGATTGTTAAAAATTGAATTTAAGAAAAAATATTTTCATTAACTAAGCAATTTTTTAGCGAGTAGCCTAAGGGTTCAAGTACATATTTGATGAAAGAACTAAGATTGTCAGATATTTACCAAAAATAATGAAATGGAAACTTGTGTAAAAAGCAGCTTAAACATTCAAAATCCTTACTTTAACTATTTACCAATGCTTCTAACAAGAATTCGGTATTTGTGTTTTTTTTTAAAAAGATTTTGGGAAAAATTTTTGTTCAGTCTGCAATGGTCAAATAAAACTTGAAATTGTTATTAAATTTTTATGTTATTTTCATATTATCAATAAATTAAAAAAAAATATATTTTTCAAAGTTTAGCTATACATTAGTTATTTCAATTTTATTTTACCAAAACATAATTGTTTTCATAAACTTTAAAATTCTTGGTACCTATAAAACCATTATTAAACCTGAAAGCTTACATCCATACTTACATTAAATGATTTACTTTGGTCATATTTATCTCAATTTTTAATGATTTTAGAAAGTCAATTTTTTATAGATTCAATAGATATTTGATGAAACATTAAATTTAAACGATTTGAAATTAAAACGAACAATTTGTTTTGGAAAAATTAATAATATTTACTTTATTCAAGAAGTTTAATAGCTATTTTTCAATATTAATTTTACTTTTTTAATATTTATTCATTTATAAAAAAATAAAATAAAACTCCGCATTTATTTTGGTGATGATAAATTTTTATTTCATTTTTTTTTTGTTTTTTGTTTTTACTTTTCTACAATTCTATAAATATTAGTTTTTAATTTAATTAGATTACTTTAATTACCATCAAATAGCACTAAACTTATACAGTTTTTTATATTATTTTTTATATATTAAAAAAATTTTTTTCTTTTCCTCTTCTAATTGCTAACAGCCTGATATTTTTATAAATTTTTGTATTTTTTTTTCTTTTATAATTTTGAAATTCTTTGCGTTGTTTGTTATTTTTTTTTTTTCGATAACTTTGCAGTTTTTGTTTTTATACCTTTAAATTGCTTGAATATTTTACCAATTGTAATTTTAAAATTAAATAAAAATTATGGTCATGATTTGAATTTTAACAACGCTCTAAAACTTATATACCACGTACATAATAATGTGAAAGTTTTATGAACTTGACAATGAAAAATAAATTTCGTGGAATTTTTTTTTTAAGAAAAATTTAAATCAGAATTCAAGAAATTTTTATTTTTCACCTTGAAATAAGAAAAATTATATTCTAAAACTGCTAACTTGTTAATATATTTTAATATTGAAATATAGGATTAATTTACGGGGAGGTATTCATTCATATTATTGGATTAATATTGTTAATGTGTTCGAAAATTTTTTTATATGTACACAAATATTGAATAAATGAGCTTTTAAATAACTCATTCGTAACGAGGCGACGAATATTTAATTTGAAAAAAATTCATTATTTTAGGAAATCTAATTCTTAAGAAAAGAGATTGCAAAAGGAGAATAAAAAATCAAAGTACATATATAAATATGTATGTATTAAGAAAGGGAAGGTTAAATTTCGAAAGAAATACTAGAAGGGGACGTAATGTTTTATAAATAAAATTTTAATATTCTGATCTTCAAAAGGTTGACCCGATATTGAATGAAAGGTTTTTGAATGAGAACAGTTTTAAATACCTCTCCATTATATTTTGTCTTAATTTTGTTTTCGATAAAAAAAATTAATTTCAAAATTTGAATTTGTTAGTGAAAAATATTATACCCATGTGTAGGTATGTGCAAAAATAACGATGATTTTATGGTTTAGCATAATATAAATGAGCATTAACAAAAAGAAGTAATTTTTTCTTATTAACCTTTATAATATCAGAAATTCTAGAATAATTTTTTATTTAAATTTGTCTCATATTATTATTTAACAAAAGAATTTCAAATAATATTAGGTATTCTGATTACCTAGTTATATAAAGGGATTACGTACGTATTCGAATGATTTAGGTATATAAAGCATAAATAATTAAAATTTGAAAAAAAATTTATTATTTAAAAGTATTCTTTTATATTTTTAAATTTCAATTCGATTTTAATTTTATTTTAACAGTATATAAGGTAATACAAGTTTTATGTACGTATATTACAAGTTACAAATTAAAAATGTATGAGTTTACAATTTGTAATAATCAGAAAAAAATATTTATTTATATTTTACTTTATTTTTTAAAATTACATAATTATTTCAGAGCTTATTTATTTGTTTATTTTTTTTTCTGGCTTTTACTTTAATAAGAGTTTTTCTTTTTTTTATTTTAGTTTTAAAAAGTACAAAAAATTTTACTTTATGTTATCTATTTTTATATATTATTAATTATATTAAATTATTTATAATATTTTCTATTACTGTGTATAATTAATTTTGAATACAAATAAATAAAATGTATACATGTACTATACAATATGCAGAATTTGGTAAAAATTAAATTTAATTGTATATGTATATATGCAACATACATGTATATACATATGTAAATATAAATTGCTAAAATCAAATGGAACTTGCGAATTCTGAACAATTTGATATTGGAGTGAAATAGATTTGAAACGTTAAATTTATACTTGTAAGCTTGCTAATAGGAAAGATTCTGGGAATGGCTTGAGAGTACTCATGTATTTTCCTATAATTCAAGCCTAACGAAAACGTTTGTTTATTTAAATTTTATTTAAATAAATTTATCATATATTTTTTTTAATATTTGATATTAAATTAAAAATCTTATCGAAACTCTCATAAGATTTTTAGAATTTTATGTCATTAGACAAACTTTTTATGTTTTATGATAAAAAATTTACCAAAATTAAAAAATATTTTTTCTCAATTTTAATATTCTGCAGCACATAAAAGACTTAGAGCATTTATCAAAGTGCAGATCTAATGTCAATTTGACTTATTCAGTAATACAGTTTCAATTGCTAAATAAGTCGAATTTACATTAAATTTGCATTTTGGTGGGCACCTTTAAACATTAAAGTACAAATATAAGTAAATTCTGAATTTTTATAATATGTGCATTTAATACATTAACATTTACTTATATATACATGCATATATATTATATTACTATATATACAACATACTCTCTTATTAATTATATTCTTATTTTAAATAGCTATTTAATTTCTTTTTTCATAATAATTTTTTAAAATTATTTTAAACTTGTATTTTATTACTAAAATGTAATTTATTTTATTTTAATTTTATTTCAAAACAAATTAATGTTTTAATGTTCTATTTTTTTTTTGTTTGAGTTTTCAAAATTTTCGAGAATACAAAGAGTTAATTATTATTATAAATATAGAATTTAAAAATTTATTAGTTAATTTATATAGCAAATTTTAGTGTTTTATTATATAAAAATTACAATTAAAATTTTTCAGATTTGAAATTGAACAAAAAAAAAAATGACTGTTCTCAGATAGTTTAAAAAATTTAAATAATTGATGTTTAATCGAAACGCAAAAATTTGTTTGAAAATTCTGTAATACAAGAATTAATGTGATCTTTGAAATTCGAATCACTAAAATTGAATCACCAAAATGAAAATTGGATATAATTTTAGTTAATTACAATATTTTTATTATAAATATTAGAGGAAAAGTTTAAATTGTAATAAAATTTGAGCAAAAAATTTCCAATAATTTTATTATTAATAATAATTTAATTAATTTTTTCTTTAATAAAAGGAGCAAAAAAGAAAACAAAGAACAAATAGAAGAACACTATAATTCAATTTGAGTTTCTAAAAAATTCATTTATAATGAGCGGAAGCAAATAGATTTTTTTTTTGATTATTTTCTTCTAAAAATCTTAAATAAATTAAATAATTCATAAATTATATTTTATTTATAATACACTCGTAAGTATAATTGCAATATTAATAATAATAATGTAGCTTAAAAATTTATAAATAATATTTAAAAAAAAAAAAATTATTAATTTTTTTATTTTTCTAATTTGAAATCTTTGTTTTGACACCATTGTTTTTGTTTTTTGTTTGTTTCTCTTTCTATTAAGCACACAATCTAAATTCACATAATTTTCTTTATTATTTGCAAATCATTTTTTTTTTTTCTTTAAAATATTTGGCAGTTAGGCCACTCTATTCATACATATTTTTTTTTAATAAAAATTATTATATAAGTATGTATATAATAATATAATATATAAAATGTGGTGAATGTTTAACATCCAACATTATTACAACATTTATTTTATGATATTCTATTACATAGGCCTATGTTTTACAAATGTTATGTTACATATTAAATTTATGTTAGAATATTTATGATTTTTTGTGGTTTTATCTTTTTTTCACATAAAATTATGTAAATTGTTTTTTTTTTTTTGTTTTACGATTTATGAGTGTATGCGTGAAAATTTTGTTTTTCTAATTTATTATTTTTTAATTTTTTTTTAATTAAATTAAAATATTATAATTAAATTTATTTTTATGTATTTTGTATTGAAATGTATTATGAATGTAATCATGTATTTTAATTGTTTTATCTTTGGATGGATATTTTGTAATAAAAGTAGACAAAAAAATAATAAAAAACAAAAGAAAATAACAAAAGTATATATAGGGCGAGTAGATGCGTTGTTGTGCTCTAAATTTTAGTAAGCAAATTAGAAAAAAAAGAATTTTTCATTATAGTTTTTCACTTTCAACAAATTTTCTAATTACTTAATTTTGAAAAATTTGAAAAAAACAAATTAAATTATTAGAATTTTAAATTAACAAAAAAAAAATGTATTTTACTTAAATATATTTTTGTTTTTATTACAATCATTAATATTTAATACTTAAACTAGTTGAAATTAATTTTAAAAATATTATGTGTAGCATTATATTTTATTAATATTTTATAAATATATTCAGAGTATATGGTTATATAAATTTAATTTTATTTATATACGTAAAAATTTTAGTTTATCATTTTAATGATATTAAAAAGAGCTAAACATTTAAACAAAAAACAGAAAAATTTAAAAGTTTTTTTGAAACAGCAATACTATAAATATTATTGGTTTTGATTTGATTAAAACCCTGACTTCAATATTGTAAAAAAAAAGAAACAAATTTAAATTTTTGGGAAAATATTTGATGTTTTATATTTGTGCTTAACTTTAAATATAATGCGTTCCATTTTTTACTATGTTTTCAACCAATTGAGGGGAGAGATAAGAAAATATTCTTGATATATTTTTGAATGTAAATTTTCATAGAGAATCTATATAGCTAAATAGCTAAATATAGTATAGCTAAATGCAGCAAACTAACATCAGTTTGACTAATTTTAGAAAACAGTCATTGAATAAGCCCAATTAGTCTTCAATTTATAGATAAGCTTTCGCCTTAAAATATGTATGTATGCGCTATTCCAAAATTTTGTGTAAAACTGGCTAAATTTCTCTGATGTTGTAATTTAAGAAATACCATATTAATTTGCAATTCAGTATATATTTAAGTCTGTTGATTATTGCTGAATTCTGTAATGATTTTTAAAAATTAGTTCAATTCCGATCTTACCGATTTCAAAATTACAAAACATTTAAAATTATAATAAACTTCAAACTACTTTAAAAAATATCCATAGCGCTCTTTATAAAATGGCAAAATTCGTTTTCTTCTTCTTCTTCAGTTTTGCAATCTTGTAAGTACTGGAGCATCCAAAACTTTAAATTTAAAAGGGATTCAAATGAAGTTTGAAGATTTCCTTTTTTTTAACAATAAAGAAGTCATATACTGTATGTATGTATATTCCTAAATAATGTAAGCAAAATAATTTTACAGCATTTCGTACCAGTTTCTGAAGCTATATAAAATATTATTATTTACTTTATACGTGGTACTTATGAACATATAGCTACTTTTGGCTTGAAGTCATATTACAAGAATTAATTTTTTTTTAATTTTGTGTTATGCAAATAATTTTATTAATTTAATCACATTTAAATTGAAATTATTTAATTATAATAAAAAAAAATGCATTAAAAGAAAGTTATTTAAGCGTTGATTACATTTTCTAAATAATTTACAATAAAAAATTTATTACTAAATTTATTTCTACCAATTTTTATAATTTTTTGATTTTAAGCGAGTTATTTAGAAAAAAAAATTAAAATGTTAAAAATAGTAAAATTACTTTAATACTATTTATAGTGCGATCATATATCTCCTTTTTTCAGTCACTATAATTTTTAATTTTTTTTTTGACAAGATTTTTTTGAGACTTTTTCGCGTCCGTGCATCTGTTTAGAAAAATTCTACGCACATTTTAAGAAGGGAATGACAAATTCCGGAAACGAATAGATTTTTACGAGAAACTTTATTCTGTAAAAGAAAAAAGTTTCAAGTAAAAATCACCAATCATTCACCCATCTGCCTTTCCTCTCTCCCCTTCCTCGTACAATTTTGGCTCTTAAAGCCCAAGAAATTCCATTTTTAAATTCCGCGAACGCAGAAAAGTAGCACTGGTTTCTTTTACGGCAAAACGATATAGTCAAACATTACAATGACAAAATGGTTGTTGAAATTAACCGTTATATGAAATGCGTTTTCTTTTAAATTTTTTGATACTGTTTCTTTCTTTATACGGTTTATTTGAGCTGCTCTTAGGCACTAATAAATTATTTATTTCATTAGAAGAACATTTTTTTCCATCTTCATCCACTCCCAACTTATCAACACCTAAAATTTTTAACACTTTACACGAATTTCAGTTGGTGAGTAAAATTGGAGATACGCAACCAGACAATTATTTTAAAAGCATTTTAAAATTTTTTGTCCAAAATATTTAATATAAGAGATTTGTGATTTTTTAAATAAAATATAATCTTCAAGCCCTGGTGGGATTTAGATTTATGTATTTGATGATGAATATATTTTTATCACTACAATCATCAAAAACATTAAACAAAATTAAACAATTATAGTGTGTATAAGAAAAATTCACTTCTAAACAACGTGCATACATATAAAAAAAATTCAATTTCTAATAATTATATTACGAGTATGCATTTTGCAAATGTTTAATCTAATTTTTAAAGTTTATTTTTGTTTTCTTATTTATTATATAAGCAATTAACATAAAAATTGCATCTCATCATATTTATTATGTATGTATGTATATAAAGTTTTTTTTCTCTTTATTTTTTTGTGTTTTTGTTTTGTATGTAAAACGTCAACTAATTATTAAATTTGTATATTTATATTTAAATTTTTTATAGTTAATTTTTATTATATAATTATGTATAAATGTAAATTTAATTTAAAACGTACAATTATATTATATTTAATCGTTAATTTTACATAAGAATAATTTTTTAATGTTTTTATCATATATAAAAAAAAATTGTTTTTATTTTTTCTCTTAATCCTTTTTATTTTATTTTTTTTTTTTTAATTAATTTAAATTTTATTTTTTTAATAGCTGATGTATATTATATATAATATATTTATACATACTCTAAATAGATATTTATATGTATAAGAAATATTAATTAATATACATATTAAATAATTATACAATGTATATAATGCGTAAATATAAATATTTTATAAATTTTTGTATCATATGATAAGCGTCTACAATGTTTTTGCTTTATCAAGGAGATCACTGATGAATTTCTGTAATAAAAACCAAAAAGAAAATTGTAATTTATTAAATACTTTATGTTAAAGTTATTAATTAAAATAAAATAAAAAAAAATTTATTTGATTTTAAGATTAAAAAAACAATTAAGATTACCGATATGTCTTGCTGTGGTTTTTTGCAGTCTGATAATAGCCTCTGTAAAACAAAGGAAAAATAAAATAAATTCATTAAAAATCTAGTAAAAATTAAATATAAATTTCAAGTAGTAGTTATATAAAGCTATAAAATTCCAATTTGAATAAAATTTATACGTTTCAAAATTCGATAATGTTTCAAAGACGAACTTGAAAACACAAATTTTTCTATTACAAAAAGTCAAACATTAGTTTGGAAAATTAGATATGGAATATCTGCCATATAAAAGCAGTACTATGCAAAATTATTGTTGTTTTGATCGATTGTAGTAACAATGAACCTATTTACATGTGCTTGTAGTAGATTATCACACTCTCTCTACAGATAAATTTTATTTTTATCGAAGAGAGGGTGTGAGAAGCATAAAAGGAAATTTGTGCATGCACAATTCAATAGAACGTTTTAGGCTAAATTGATGATTTTTTAAATATTATTTAATAGAACTCATATAGTTACAAGTTCAGTTCTAAGGACATAATCTCTATTTTTATAAGAAAGAATTTCAGTTTAGCGTGTGATGAATGGTTAGGAAATTTGTTTACAATTTTTTTTTTTCCAAAAGGAATTCAAAATTCTATGTTAACTACATACTTAAGTAATTTGTACAAAATAAAGCTATTTCGAGATTTTGATTTTATGAAATTTATAGCCTGATTTCATCTAAGTAAATTTTTTTTCAACAGTATTTGGGTTTATTTAGTGAAATATTATTGGTTTAAAGTTGCCACAAAATATCTTTTAAATTTCAAAGGCTTCATTTATTTCATTTTTTTTATCTTAAACTATTCATCTAATTAAAAAAAAGTTTTGACTATTTTGATTGTTTTTGACAACAAGGGACTATTAATTCGTCCGTTTTATTTTCGATCTATATAGCTGGACTCCTTAGATTGTTAGCATGCATGAAAAGTACTAATTATAAATTAGCTTTTGCAGATGATTTTACTCGGCAGGCCAGACAGTAAAAGAAATTGAAAATAGAGTTCAGAAAATGTTTAATCTAACAAGGGATTATAGCAAAGTATATGAGCTCTAAAGATTAATTTCAACAAGTGCGAAACAATTTTGTTTCGGAACACAACGGGTAAACAAGTAAATCTTAGTAAAAAGTAAATGTTGTTAATAGAAGCTAGATGTGTATTTAAGTTGCTTTAATTTATTTTAATTTTATATAAATAAAAAAAAGTTAAAAAACATAATTTATTTGTTAAATATTTCAGTGTATAGTCTAGTTTACCATCATTATTACCATTTTCCATTAATTTTTATTTAATTAATGTTAACACCGTCATTTTTGTCAGTTTTCATGTACTTACCTATAATGCATATATATACGTACACTATAGACCTATATGGCTATATGGATTACAAACCTATTAATCATTTCAATAATAAATTAACTTTAAACTTTTTAACGCCATATATTGTGGCAATTCATTCTTCTATACCAGTAATCAAATATTGGTGTACATAAAAGTATCTTGTGTATAAAATTAAGTTTAATTATTTCAATTCTCTACATGCATATGTATATGTACGTATATACAAATTGAACAATTCTACATTATTGTACATTGTGTACGAATTATGATGTGACGGTTTCTATTTCATTGGAAATTAATATTAATGTAAATTAATAATTACTTTATATACATTTATATAACAACCATATGATTGAAGGTATCAATAAATCAAATCACCATTAATATTGATATTAATCAATAAAATTTATCTATATATTATTAACCATAAAATTAAATTTTCAATTGAAAATTTTTGACATTCAAGATTAATATTTTAGAAAACACGTTGTCAAGAAAAGTGAAAGAAACAAAACAGTAAGTTCAATTTATGAAAAATTTCAATTAATAATAGCATTACAGATGTATGTATGCATGTACATAAAAGTATACGTTTTGTATAAGTAGGTATACTTAATTTTTATTTCATATTTCTTACATAATTATTGTTTAAAACAATTAACTGTCAATTTTTTCAATTACAGTTATTATAATTGTAAAAAATGAAAAAGAGTGTTACGAGTATATTATTAATTATTATTTAAGAAAGAAAAAAAATTTGGAAAAGACTTCACAATTTTAAATTCCAAATAAGGTTTCAAAATTAATGTTAAATAAAAATACGTTTTTTACGAAGTAAAAAATTAAAAATACGTTTTTTTTTATTAAATTACAAGAGTGATTCAAAAGCAATTGAATTTAACTCCCTCTATACACAATGCTAAAAGAAAAAAAACTCACAATTACAAGATAACAGTAAATTATACTTTTAATGATGGTTTAAGTTTAATTTTTTTTTTTATATTACGTGAACTAGGGGCGATCATAAGGAACGAAGTAAATATCAATTATTCGATATTAAGAGATTACAGATTGGAAAAATAACACGATAATTACAAAATGTAAAAATAATGTCACTGTTGAAATATGTGTGTGCGTTATTATAGTTTATTTAAAAAAAATATTTTATATTATAAATATCTTGTTTGTCTTTAGTTGTATAGTTGACATTAATTTGTTTAAATTAATAAGTTTAACATTAATTTTTGAAATTGACCTTCCTATACGATATAGCATTCATACTTTAAAGTGAGATTCGGGCTTTTGCAATGGAATGGTAAAAGCAAGTAATTCATATATTAAGAAACTTGTAGTGGTACAAAAAATCTTTGACATTTTTTGAAATTTCATATTCTTTAAATACTTGAGGTTCCCAATACATATATAATGAAAAGTCAAATGGAAAGCTAAGAGTTCGTTCTCCAAATGAGCCATTTTTTATTTTAATTTTTTTTTTGTTTTTAACTTTTTGAAATGGCGCCATTTTAGTTGGAAGAACTACTACTGATTACATAATATAGCGCTGCTCTCACAAAACATTTTCAAAATTAGAAGATTTGTGTATTTTCAAAAAAGGTACAGAAAAGTCGATTTAATGAGATAAGAGCACAAACAATGTTCTTTTTTAAGATTTGAAATAAAACTTATATTAAAAATCAATATTGCAGTAGTCTGTAAATTTAAAATATTTTATATTCATGTACAAGTGTGTATCTAGAAACTAAATTTATTTTATTTTGAAAATAAAATGCGAAATAAGTACACATACATGAAGAATACACGGATGTATATGCATAATTTTAATATGTTTGCTCATTAATATTTAAGTTTTATCGATTTTGGCAAAAATTCAAATGCATTTGAGATGATTTTATAGGATGTACAACAGTATAAGAGCACATATACATACATGTATGAAATTGAATTTTATAGTACATAAAGAAAATAATTTCTACCTTTTTTTTACATTATTAATTTTTATATTATGAAAAAAAAGGAATTGAATTGCCCTTAGTTGCGTGTAATGTTAAAAATTATTAGCCATAATATCCACTATAATACTGATTCAATCAAAAACGTGTAAAAATTTTGATTAAAAATTACTAATAATGGTTATGATGCTTTATATATCTAACTCAACATATAAAAATACTTTTTATTAAATATGTATGTACTTTTCTTAATAGTTTATCAGTTTTATGTTGAATCATATATATACAGGGTATTTCATTTAGAATAACAAACCTACAGCTAGTATAACTACATATATAAAATTATTATTTGCGGTTTATTTTGAAAATTTTATTTCGAACCGATCTAAATTACATATTATGTAATTTTGGTTTAGGTACTTTGGAAAACCTTTCTTATAGCAAAAAAAAATTTCTCCCTTAAAAATTGCATATTCTCCTCACAATAGCTTTTGTCCTAACTGACGTAAGAAAAGGTAAACACAGTCAGATTATTATTGTCGGAACATTTTGTATCTAAGAAATTAACTTATGCGGTTAATCATTTCCTAAGAAATTTTTGGTACTGGTTTGCTTCTATAAAATAAAAAAAAATTTGTATTGATTTATAATACAGAAAACTTCTTTTGTTAGATTTTTCCTTGCTCACAAAATATTAATAAAAATGATTTTAAATACTTTTAGCATTCACAGGTACGAGTATTAAAGTGATTTTCTCACCTTCATTGATGAAGATATTTTGAAAGTCATATCTAATTAATTCAAGATCATTTGAATTAGTCATATGCATTAATAAAAAGATCACTTAACTAGTGTTCTTGGGCATTTATAACATTTTTAAATTCATATGATATAAGAATGGCAATTGAGATTAAAAATTTTAATATTTGTGTACAAATTTTTATACATAATTTTGTTATATATAAGTATATATAATTACGGTCAATGTAGTTTTATTGAATTTAAATAAAAATTATAGTATGTTTGTATAATACTTACAATCAGATGAGATCGACGAATTTCATCTGTGTCCATGTCTAAAATTTCATCGATGTCTACATCTATAGCTTCACTCTGGGGATAACGATGATGAATTCAAGTTGAATACAAGATAAATATCATGTAAATAAAAAAGTAATAAAAATGTTCAAGTTATAAAAAACAAGTAAATGATTCATCGTCAGTAATTTTTGTGAATTAAGTAAAATATTTGCAATCAAATAAAGAAAATAAACACATATCTTTACATAAAATATACTAGAGTGTATACACAAAGCGAAAGTTCTTTTAAAAATTGAATGCCTATGGCAAGAAAATATTATTTTCAATCTCAATTATTGAATTCAATTAATAATATATAAAGGGATTATTTAAGCAAAACATTTTGCAAATTGACCAGTTGAGATGATCTCAGACTCTTATCTAGAGCACTTGCTTAAAATTCACACTTCTGATGAACTTTATTTTCTTTCGTGAAACAATTTTGCGGAACAAATCCAAAAAAAGCTCACCTAGGAGATTCTTTCTCCTATGAAGTAAGACTTTATAGTCTCCGGAATGAGTATTATTGCTTCCATTGTTTTGTTATGAAATTGTTGCTAAATGAAGAGCTTTTTTCTAAAAAAATTAAAATTTTAGTAATTTTGTTTACCATAGCCTGGCAATATGCAATTTTTGCTTACGTAATACCGCGTGTATAAGATTGAATTGAATATTTTATATACATACGTATGTATATATGTAAATATTGATTTTTATAGCAAATTTTTATTGATCGCTGAACCCGATAATTATCTCTTATACTTCTTTTTCTTAAAATATGACTATAAATTATGTATTTAATATTTAATGTTCTAAAATGTTTAAAGATAAATGCTTTATAATATTTATTATCTTTCAATTCAACAAACACATTATAATTAAGATGAATCATTAGATTCTTAAAAAACATACAAACACGTCATATATCTATAAATATTATTGATATGTATATACATATATAATTATATATAACTTATATAAAATATATTATGAAATTTTATTTTACTTACAGGTGGTTCAAACAGTTTTTGTATCTCATCATATAACCACATTTCTACAGCTAATCTTTTTCTTATTAAACTCATCTGATGCGAACCATATTTGGCTGTTAAAAATTTTTCTCTTCTTTCTTTAACCTCTGAACCTTTTTCACTAAAATTAACTCGCAAATTTGTACGATTCGGTGATCTTTCACAATCATTCATTGACTCTAAACCACACTGCATCTTTTTGGATTTCTTTTTTTGTTTTTTTTTTTTTAGTTATTATATGTAGTTGATAATTTATTGTGCGTTAGCTACTTCTGTAGCTCTTAATATTATACAAAGTTGTTCAACTTTGTATAATATTAAAAAATATATTTTGTATAAAAAAAACTATGATCAATTATTTATGAGATCTTTCAGTTTTGTAAGAAGCATATATAGAAGATACTCTCGAAATCATTAAAGAGGAAAAAAATTTATAAATTCTATGTGTATAGAGAATTGAGGAGATTATATTCAATTTAAGCTGCTTTTGATGTTAAGCCGAGTCCGAAATAATATTGTTGTTCTTTTATTTCCTTATGTTCTCTGTATGTACTTATGTTTTTATGCTTGAAGATTAAAAAGAGTATATTTCTTTTCGGACTTAAGTTGAATTTATAACTGCGTTGATGTTATGAACACGGAAAAATCTTTTATCATGCAAAAGTTCTAAACTTTGTTAAAAACCTGTGAAGAAAACAAATAAAATGAGAAGGTAATATTAATCTGAGTAAAAATAAAAATTCAAAATAAAGAAAATTAGCTATATAAAAAAGGGAGCATTGAAAAATTATTTAAAATACGTTTTGAAATTTGTCAAGATTACTTAAATTTAAGGTTGCCAAAGGGGCGAGATTGAAATAATTTGTTGTCTAGATGGGATTTTGCTAAACAAAAGTTTTTTAGTACTTTTCGGAAAATTTTCGTTTTTGTAAATACGAGTATATTACGTTGAATTTTTATGTGTTTATATGAGCCATACTTGTTCCAATAAGTCGATTTCGCTTATAGTTAATATTGAATTTTTCGTACAGAAAAATTTTCCATTTGTGCTAAGATTTATGTGTCTGGCTTAGTGTTATACTAAATATGGAAAATAGATAGATAAGCAGGTAGATTAACCGACTATAGCTTAATCGATTTATAGCTTGATCTTCTAATCCGGAACAAGTTGGAAATATCCTAAAATCTCAAATGTTTCCATTTAAGAATTTCTGTGAATTTCTATTAAGATCAATGCACAAGCCTAAACGAATGAGTTTGTAACTCCAAAATTTGTAACTAAAACAAGTTACGTGTATTTCATCGTTGTGCTTGTAAAAAAAATTTATTTTTCTAAATAAATTTGGTAACTTTGATTAAAAATGTAACTTAATTCCAAATTGAAAATGACAGTTTGTTTTTATGTTTTTATCATTAATTTTTTTATTTTTTTGCTTTAAAATTTTTCTTTTTGTCTTTGTTTTGTTAAACTTGTTCTCAACTGGATAAAAGTAATTTTTTAGTAACCTAAATCTTTAGGTGGTGAGTAATTTCTGAAGTGAATGTGTTAGAGTAACAAAAAAAAATAAGAGGAACACTTTAAATTTATCGCCTTGTTTAGTCACAGTATTCAAAAAATAAATTCAAAATAAGATTTACATATAATTTTATGATAGATTTTAATTACTGATTTTCATTTGTACATATTTAAAAAAAAAATTATTATTGTAATTTTATACATTTTTTTTGGTTATAAGTGCTTGAGTATAGTTTGGTTACATATAGAAGGACTCAAATTCTGAGAAATTTTAAATTTATTTAAGTACCTATACCTTAATGAGGATTCAATATTCCAGTGGCATAGGCATAATAATTCCATAGTTTATGATCATAAAGTGTGAAATTGGAAAAACAATAATTTATGATGGTAAAATGAAATTGTAAAAAAAATTATTGGTTTCTTTGGTTTGTTTTATTAATTTTTTTGTACTGACAGTGACTAATAACAGTAATTGTCTATTTACGATGACTAATTTCAAATGAAAAAATTTTGTTTTCAATAGAAAAGTAATGTCCCTTTTCATTATTTTATTGATGAGCAATTATGACTGACAGGAGAAGTTCACCACTACTTATTATGAAGTTTTCTGCCGCATATAATTAATCTTTTATAACATTTTGAATTTGAATTTTTGTCACAATTGAAGAAGTTGGAAGTAGTTTGCGAATTCTTAATGTATAAAATGGAATTATAGTTTCCAAACTGAAAGCTTTTTTGAATGAAAATTCTGTTATATGTTTATATATGTAAATGTATAAAATAATCTGTAAATAGTATAACAAAATTGATTTCTTACTTGACATGTCGAGTTATCATAAATTTAAGAAGTTAGAATACTTATGTGTACGAAAGTGCGGAACAAGTCTAATATCTTCCAGATACTCTTTTGTATAGGATGCGGTTAAGTTGAGGGTGTTTTTAACTTTGATTTATATTGTGTTGAAAATGACTATTAATAAAAATTTTCTTGTCATTTTCAACTTTCATAGAAAATTTTTCATAGATTATCAGCAATATTTCAAATAGATACCTACTTTTCATACAAGAGCGTACATAATTCTGATAAGTTGTTTTAACATATTTTCATATATATTTTTGACATGTTTATAAATAGTAATGAAATTTCGAGTATATACATATGCATATATTCAACGTTAAACCATAATGTTTGATTTTTATTATAACACATTTATTATACACACGAAATTTAGAGTAAATTTAATGTAAGACACTTAACTAAAATATGTACATTAATGTAGTTACTTGGAAAATTTTATAACTCTATCAAATTTCTATACTATTTTGAAGACTACTCAATTAACATGAACTATGTAGGCATTTATTTATTATATGAACTTTAATATTAAAGTCAATTTTAAACTGAAATTTGATATTAATTTCAACAACTTTAGACACTTTATTTGAGTATTTAACCCCCACATTGTAAATAACACCATCTCTGATTTAATATCATAAAGTATTACTTTAAGGTAACCTAATATTTGTGACAGTAATTATTATGATTGTATATTTGTATACGTGTTTTTATTTTTAAAGAATTACTTTTCGCGCGCCCTCACTATCTCAATTTTATTACTACTGAATCCATATGCATGCATAAATATTTTCGTATGTATGTTATTAATTGTATTTACATTTTAGGAGATTACTTCTTTATGTCAAAAGTGCATTGTACAAAACAGATATTGTAAAAAAAATATCAAATTACAGAAGGAAAAAATTAGCATTTTGTATACATTATTATATTTGTATATGGTAAAAGAAGACAAAAAAAAAGATTTCGGAAACTTAATCCTCTGTTGGGGACAGATGTTTCAACAGAAAACAAAAATTTTTTTTTATTTTTATATTCTCTCGATTTTATAATATTTTTGTGTTCTCTTTAATAAAAAAGCGAATAAAATATTGTTTGCTGCTTGAGTTCTGTTGATTCAATCAAAAATATTCTCATTCAATTAAATTGACAATACTTGTTGATTTAATGAACCAACAAGTAGTTAAGAACAAACAATTTTATTGATCTTTTTGTGTTTCGTGGATTTTGTTATGACACAGTAATGCAATAAATCTTCACGTTTGTTTAGTTATATAATTAGAGTTTAACAAAAAATTGAAGTTTAAAAGAGCTTATAGGGAAATTAAGTGTTTAACAGTAATTAGCAGTAGAAAACTATGTTTTTAGTTTATACAATTTCTTATCAGTGACAAATTGAAAATGAGTTAGAGTAGGAAAGAAGTTTTGGTTTAAATATTATATGATTTATGAGTAAACTCTTGTAAAACAAATAAATATCTGGTATCAACAGTAAATACTGCAACAGTTATGTCACATTGACGTGTTCAAGTACTAATTAGCGGATATATGCGCAGCTTCTAAATGGAACAATCTTTCTCGTTCACAATAGTAATTGCATAAATCATTTATTCATTTGTTTAAGCTACTTGCGTTTAGATTTGGCTATTCATGAATAATTTGCAGATATAAATCGAACGCAGGTAATGACATTTATATTTTTTACCAGTTTTTTAATTAAATTTTCATTTACAATACACAATTTTCAACAAATTTAAGACATTTGAATTAAAAATTTTATTTTTTGCTAAAATATTTAATAAAAATTATATTAAAATTAACAGCGTACTTATAAATTTGTACATAATTTAAGAATATCATTATTCAATTAATTTAAATTATTATTTGTAGTTATTCTTGTCATAAATTTTTATTCCATAAAATTAATTTTAACATTTATTTATTTCGGTACGTTCATATTTAATGATTGTTATAAAGGCAATGTACCACTGCACATCTTCTTTAAACCCTATATAAATATTTTATGATTACATTGATTCAAAAAAAAAAGAAAATTGAAAGTAGAATATCAATATTTCTTTTAAAAGAGTCTTCACAATCTTAAACATTTATTGTATGTGTATATAAATATATGCTATGTATATAGATATTATAATAAAAAGGTCATAAACTCATTCTGTAAAAAGACAATATAAAAATTATAAGAAAAATAAAATTAAAAACCAAATCAGACATAAATTGAAATCATCTTAATAATTTCATCGTCTTTCATATATTAATGTATATATGTATATATTACTAACATTTAAATGTATACAAGGCTGTGCATCTACTTTATCGTCTAAATTTTTTTTTGAATGTAAGTCTGAGTACGTTTGTAAGTACATAATTTCTAAAGATAATTTTATTTATATATTTTAACAATAGACTCTCTTGTCGACACTATTGCAGTGATGTTAAATGTACGTGGTCGGTGGTATGTAAATTAATTCTTAAAAATCAATTTCGATAAGAGAAAGATATTATTTACTTGCTTAACATTAACACATATATTTTGTTAACTACATAGAAGTGATGTTGTAAATGTAGGATTCTGCTAACAGTTTTTGAGTTGCAAAACTTTTTGGACTTACATTAAAAGCATAAATTATGATTCATGGCTTTTGTATGATGTTAAAATTTGATGTAAATGTTAAAAGTATTCGTGAAATCTTACTTGATTCGTGATCATACTTGAAATTATATTCTCAAGCATAATCCATGAACAATGTATGTAATGAAGGAAAAAGCAAGGATTGATATTTTAAACTTTACAACGACACTATATGAAAATTTTCTATTATCGTTTTAGGCCATTCTTCGGCAGTGGGAATTGCAAATAACATAGTTTCTTGAGTATATTCTGAAATCTTATTTAATACCGAATTAAATTTCTTTTGTTCAACATAAATCTCTTTATACCGAAAAAAATTGGTAAATTTATACACAGAATCAGCAAAATTTTATGAAATGGAAATTTTATTAGTTGCGAACACAAATAATTGAGTAATGATATTGGCGGGATAACAAATTTTTACTATATATAAAAATCAAATCTGAGGTATTTGCTATCACTACTTTACAACATTCAAAATTAATTTTCTCTTATATGTACGAGTATCTATGAACATCTGAACTTAACTAGAATTATTAGAGTAATTCTGGTATATGTATAATGTAAATATGATTGTTGTGGCTGTTGTCGGAAAATTATTATACTCTTGGCCTTTTTTTTGTTTTATTAAAAAAATAATCGTGTAAGAGAAGACA